TCCACAACCGACAAACCTAATCCAGTATACAGGGCGTATCATAATAAAGGATATTGAAGTTTAATGACGATTTATATGAAAACTACTGATTTCATAATCAAGCATTTTATGTCTGTTGTAAAGGACAGAATGTCCTCTTTTTAATGACACCCCGATCATACTACTACTGTCACAGTTGACTGAATAACAAAGCATTGCTGTCCACCATGTGAAAGGTGCACTGTGACAAGTTAGCATTCACAGATAAATTATAAAGATTAGTGCTTGTGTCAGCCCAGACATATTGAAATGCTGAACAATGAGTGGATTATGTGTCTAAGAAGGAAATGTTATCAAACTTGGCACAGTGCACCTTTCACATGGTGGACAACAATGCTTTGTTATTCAGTCAACTGTGACAGTAGTAGTATGATCGGGGTGTCATTAAAAAGAGGACATTCTGTCCTTTACAACAGACATAAAATGCTTGATTATGAAATCAGTAGTTTTCATATAAATCGTCATTAAACTTCAATATCCTTTATTATGATACGCCCTGTATAGTAAACATTATACCCTCAATATATTTGCCTTTGAAAGCTGTCATTAAATGCCTTGAAAATTGGCGTTATATTCCAGTATTACCAAATATTAAATTCATCATAAGTTGCAGTCTTTTTCTATTCCTGTTTTATTGATCACTTTTTATGCCCATTTAAAATGGTGAGACCAGAGAATGCCTTGCTCCTAATGATGCGGCCAAGATGGCGAGCCTCATGAATCACTCTTATGAGACTCAGGGGAAGTATTATGTTGCAGTCCAATCAGAGATGGAGAATTATCACTGCAGTGAATTCATTGAGGGCTTATGGAGCAAGAAGGTAGTTTAAAGTGTCTATAGTAACACATATGTTAGCAAAGAAAGCTTTCAGTCAGCAGCCAGTTCCACACTGAGCTCTGAAAACCCTGGGACGGCCAAACTCCACAGGTCATCGCCCTCTGCAGACTGGAGAAAATTGGCAAACGCCATTTCCATTGCCTCAAAGTACAGCACTCGGATGAGCCTCAGGTCGCCTGCCTCATTGCCCTCCCCCACAAAAAAAGGGATTGTGGTTTTGAGAAGCTGAGACTTCTGGGCGATTTCCAGCACAATCTCTCAATTCTGGATAAAAAGCAAGGAGAATTGTTTCTTCTCAGGAGGCCAACAAAGCAGAGGGTAGTGGAGGATTTTCTTCCATGCATCCACTGCCTCGGCTTTGTCAGCCTAGGAGAGATGTGGAGGCATGTAAGGAATTGCCGTCACGCCACATCTCCCAATTCCACCGAGCCTGAGGACAACAGCAGTTCCACAATTGCGCAAGCAAGGATGTTGCTCGACGGAGCCTCCTTGAATACCAGCGAGAGGGTATGGCGTGTCATCGTCAGCAGCATGAGAGAGAGGGGGGATGAGCGAACAGTAGATGCAGTACAAAAAGATCCTCTCATCCTCAGATTTGGGGCCATGCTACTTGAAAGGAGGGGGGCAGCCAGAAAAAACGAGATCGGCCAACGCATGAGGCAGCTTGGCCGTCTTGTGGTGTAATCAAGTGAAGTCGCCTGCAGGAAACTTTCACTTGACGAGTGCATTGGAGGGAGGTACTTCGACACAGTTGTTGAAGCAACACGACTGCTTTGCAAACCTCAGGAAGACCAAACGATGAGTGGTGTTACGCTCACGAAGAGCCCATCCCTTGGCATCCACATCGGGCACAGTATTATAAAGTGTTGCCAGATCAAGAGGGGGCAGTGTATCCGGTTGGGGGACACAAGAAAGAAGCAGGATGCTGATAACTTCAAAGAACTGTTTGAGGCAGAGTGGACAGACCTTATAGCAAGCCCTGCCCGCCAAGCCCTCAAAGAGAGGGTCTTCTTCCGTGCATAAGATCTGCCAAGCACGGCATTCACTGAAAAGGCCATTGTGGATGGGACGGCCAAACTGCACACATCATCCTCCTCCACAGACTGGAGGAAACTGGCAAACGCCATTTTCGTTGCTTGTACAGTATTTAATAAGCGACGTGGAGGAGAGGTGGCCCGGATAAGAACCAAGAGTTTCCTTAACTGACAAACCAAGGACGACCACATCCACAAGGACCTAAAGGAAAGCTTGTCTCCAGTCGAGCAGAAGCTGATGGAGAGGTAAGAATTCGAATTGACGCGAAATTGAATAATGCACTCACAGAAGCAGGATGCCGACTACTTCAAGGGACTGTTCGAGGCAGAGTGGACAGACCTTATTGCAAGCCCTGCCCGCCAAGCCATCAAAGAGAGGGTCTTCTTCTGTGCACAAGATCTGCCAAGCACGACAGACTTACAAAGGCTTTTGGCATACACAGAAAAGGCCATTGTGGATGGGACGGCCAAACTCCACACATCATCCTCCTCCACAGACTGGAGGAAACTGGCAAACGCCATTTTCGTTGCTTGTACAGTGTTTAACAAGCGACGTGGAGGAGAGGTGGCCCGGATCAGGACCAAGAGTTTCCTTAACCGACAAACCAAGGATGACCACATCCATAAGGACCTAAAGGAAAGCTTGTCTCCAGTCGAGCAGAAGCTAATGGAGAGGTAAGAATTCAAATTGACGCAAAATTGAATAATGCACTCGCAGTGGCCCAGTAAAATTGCACTTCGGGCCAGCAAAAATGAATGAAAGTCATACTTTGGGGACCCGATTGGGCAAGCAGATTTTTGACTTCACAAAATTGGAAAGATCTTGTTTTCTTTCATGTCATGCTTCATGTAAAATCTCAGGTTTTATCAAGAAAAAGTGATATTTCAAATAGTAAAAAGTTTACTCATAAAAAAAAAGAATTTTTGCCCTGGGGCTAGTAAATTTTTGGGGGGTCCACAAGAAAGGCGAAAGAATACTCAAAACAACCTCAAGAATGGTACAATATTTTTCTTCACAGGCTGAACTTTCAATCCTTTGAGGAAACAGGAGGGGAAGTATGGCTGAAGGTCGGAGGGGATAAGGGAGGTTCCTCCTTCAAGATGATGCTCCAAATCGCCAATGTGTCCCGACCCAACAGTGTACAGAACACCATCATAGTCCTCATCTTCAATGCTGTTGGCAACATATTCAATCTACAGCTGGCTCTACAGGGGTTTTCTGCCAAGGTACTACTAACAACAAAGCATTGATTCACATGCGATGATCATGAGTGTTCGTATCAGGTGCTGGTGCCTGCAACAAGAATCCCATCATGCATTTTGTTTGAGCAGTCCCCATGGGAACAGGTCAGGGTCACTGGGTCGCATTCAGACTTTGTCTGCAAATTAGTAGCTTTTAGTAGTTTGAATTTAATTTTAGGTAATTTTAGGTAATTTGTGCAAAGAAAAGACCTTCATGATCATGAATGTGTATTTGTTTCTCTTATCAGATCCCTCCAAGACTTAATATTTCAACTTGCCAGCCAGTGTAACAAAGAGCTCCTCTCAACCTCAAATCTCGTCAATGTCCAGAGGAGCGATGTCCTTGACGGTGGATTCAGAGAATTAAAAAACAGTGTTTCAACCCTTGTGCCGAGCTGAATGTCCGGCTTGCTACAGAGTTTGGCATAGACAATAGTGGGCCTTCAAGAGAATTCCTCAGTTAGGCACTGACTGAAATCCAACAATCACAGCTTTTCTCTGGCACAGAGTATGCATGAGCAGTGACTTTGGACTGTTGTATGTATATATTTGTTATCTTAGCTGGCGTTAACTGATACATCGGACCACGCCTTTAAGATTGAAGAAGATGCTACAGGAATTGAGAAGAAACTCCTTCTGGTGGAACTATACACTAGGAAATCAAATCTGTTGTTTTATGGAATGCAAGCTACGAGAGATGAAAATATCTACTCAAAATTAAGGAAAGTCTTCATCGATCTTCAAGTCTGCGGCAAAACTAATTTGCATGTGAAAAAGATGACTGTCTGCGGCAAGTCTGCCGCAGGAGTATGCGGCAGGCTCATTTCTTTCCTATGGGTAATCAAGCCAATATTGGGGATAGACTGAAGTTCAAGCGTGTGCTGAAAAGAAGTGTGGAGGTATACTGTTTCAAGTGTGTACAAAATAAACTACTGTACAACATGGCTTTGTGAACATACAGGAACTAAGAGCTTAAAGAGCTAATCAAGCCAATTCGGGCTAGACTCAAGTTCAAGCGTGTGCTGAAAAGAATTGTGGTGGTATACTGTTTCAAGTGTGTACAAAATAAACTACTCTACAACAGGGCATTGTGAACATACAGGAATTAAGAGCTTAAAGAGCTCATCAAGCCAATTCGGGCTAGACTGAAGTTCAAGCGTGTGCTGCAAAAAATTGTGGAGGTACTGTTTCAAGTGTGTACAAAATAAACTACTGTACAACATGGCTTTGTGAACATACAGGAACTAAGAGCTTAAAGAGCTCATCAAGCCGATTGGGGCTGTAGTTCAACGTGTGCTGAAAAGAATTGTGTAGGTACTGTTTCAAAACTAAGCACAATTTCATGCCTCGGCCCATGGTCTACTCCATGACAACTTAGTTAACACCTGTATAGATTAATCTTACGCTAGAAACAGTTAAATATTCGTGATGCCTTTGGTATATATCTGTCTCGTGATAGATACACTGAGGTACAGAAGGTCCATGATGATAGAGCAATATGAAGCATATAGAGTGGTGAAGTGTGACGTCATCAAAACAATATTTTTAGAATTTCTCAATTTCAACTTATTTCAAAAATAATGTCCAAATGTCGAAAACCAATTGAATATGTTAAGGATTGGCTGAGATATGACCATCTGAATAAATACATATCTATAGAATATTATTTTGCTCTTGTTCATAACATTACAAACCAGAGGAAAATAACACTGAGTTCCTATAGGAAAATCTATTTTTATGATGCCACAGCTTCGGTACTTTATTACACTTACATGATTAGACAGAAAAAATAAAAGTCATTTTTTCAAGCATCACAAGAAAATAATGAGCCTAAACTGAAAATGGGATCCGAAGTGAAAAACTGTGGTAATATATTAAAGGCTCAGTTCCAAGCTCTCCAGTCCGCACATTGATCCTGTACATTGGGACCTTACTCTACTGGTCTGACGTCACTACGATTCTGAGCCGATTTAGCTTTTCCTCCCCCAAGGTAGCTTGGCATCCATTAAAATTAAGATTTTATTAATCTTTTACTTTTCAGATCCTTAGTCTTTTAAGTTTTTTTACAAGTTTGAATGTTCAAATCATAATGCTATTGCATAATTCTCCAGTCCAAACATTAATCCTGTACATTCGTGCATCATGTGTTGAGACCTTCCTCTGCCGTCTCTTTCCCTGTTGGTGCCTCTGATGATGCCTCTGTGGATGCCTCTGTTGACGCCTCCGGTCCGTCAGACAGGTCTGTTGTTGCCTCTAACTCTCCTTGGGATCCTTGGGTGAGTTCATCTGAAAAGAAAAATGTATACAGAACACATCAAAAAGTAGTAGTCACACCTGCTTTAGTAACCACCTGTCTACAAAAACCACCTGTCTACAACAAGCACATGTTTTGTTTCCCTTGAAAAAACATTTCTCATTGAAACATGTACTAAAGGAACCTGTCTACAAAGACCACCTGTCTACAACAAGCACATGTGTTGTTTTCCTTGAAAAAAGGTTTCTCATTGAAACATGTACTAAAGGAACCTGTCTACAAAGACCACCTGTCTACAACAAGCACATGTTTTGTTTCCCTTGAAAAAACATTTCTTATTGAAACATGTACTAAAGGAACCTGACTACAAAGATCACCTATCTATAAAGACAATTTTTGTGTATACCTTGGGTGGTCACTGTAGACAGGTTTGACTGTACATGCCATACATCATTGAATACTGGAAAGTGATAAGAAACTTGACATGTGTGCATATTACATTCATCAAAGTAAGAATAAACATTAGCAGTGTCCTAGTATTCAAATTATGCAAGGAAACATGTTTACCTTCTAGACTTCACTGTCAGACACTATTGAGTGACAGACTGACATCTTTGGTTATTTGGTAATAATGACATAAAAGGAGCTGTAACAGGTACATGAGCATTTGTCTACATCAATATCCCACTACTTGTAATGGCCAAAATTAGACTGATTGAATATTTGTGCAGCACAAAACGTATCTCCTTTCAGTAGGTGTGAAAATCAGACTATTACTAAAGTGATTGCAGTCACTTAAGTCGATTCAACAACTAAACAAAAAATTAAGATGAAAAATGAATTTGCAAATGAAACAATTAACAACTTACCATTTTGCTCTACCTGCTCTTCAGCTACCTCAGGAATCACAGGAATCTTACTATCAATCTTTAACTCTTCCCTTTCCTCTTTCTCCTCCTCCTTCTCCTCCACTTTGACGGGTTCCTCCTTCTGTGGTATCAGCAATCGTAATGACTCCACGATCGATGCAACGTCTAGAGATCCCACATGGCCCTGATAATAGGAGACATTCAGAAATAAAATGCTAGTTATTTGTGAATACACTTTTGTCACTAAGAAATTCTCCAAAATGCAAATAGGGTAAAACGGGCCCATAGTGCATCGCGTCATCGACACCCAGGATATTTTTGCAGAGACACTAACTTCTGGTTTATTCATTGCATGCACTGCACGACTGAAGTCACAGTTCCACTACCCATTTCCGTGATGGAGGATAGCGAGATACTTTGGGAAATGACTGTTTCGCAACTGAAAAACTTGCAAATACCACACTTAAAAAAAAAAAAAAAAAAAAAGCAATATGCAATTTTAAGAAGAGCAGCTGTTTGACTGTGAGCATTAGACACGCCATCAACATGCAACATCTAAAAATTTGAATAAAATGACACGTCTTTGAAAGCATTATACATGCCTAAAAAAATTGGTCGAAAAGTTGAGAGAAAAAAAAAAATCAATTTTGATCTTTTCAACTTGTTGCGAAATTGAATATTTCAAAGCTTAATTTCCTTTTTTAATTCTTGGCTTGAAACACAATATGGTTATTGAGCAAAAAGGATGCAAAATGTGCAGAGAGCTGTGAGAGCACCAAAATAACCCCACCCCATTAATAGTTAACATAACATAGTAGATTCACTTCCTCTTACCATCTTTTGTAGTTCAATGGTAGAGAGGCCTAGCGTCTGAGCGATGCTCGATGGTGGAAACAATGAGATCAGACATCGATTGAGGAAAGGGACCATCTGGTTGCTTGCTGACTCACAGAATGAGATGAACTGCTCCTGCTCTCGCTGGTTGAATGTACTCTCCTCCGCTCTGTGAAAGAAAAAAAAAACTGATTTAGCAAGCTATTGGTGTTTGCCTAAAGCTTCTGATCACAGGCTTTAAAGGTATAGACTAGTTTTGGAAACGCCCCCCTCTCAAAAAAGGAATGGAAGCTCTTATTACCAATCATGTGAAAGAATATGTTTTGACTAATACATGATGATACAAATTTTCCCTGAAAAACGACCTACTAATTGATATATTTGGTAAATTATTAAATCTATCCGGACCGGATAGATATCGTGCAAGTGTCACATATACATCTTTCTGTGTACAGTGCTTGTAACTTTGCCAAGACTGGGCCAAATTTCTTATCATTTTGATGATTCCAGAACCTTGCAGTACACACCAATACTTATATGCTAGATGATCAACCTTTTCTGAGCAATTCCACAACGTTTCTTTCACAATGCAATCGCATGACGAGAACTGGTCTTTACCTTTAACTCAAATCTTCTCATGGACAGTTTCTTCTTGGACTAACGAATGGTTTTAAAGACACCACTGAGCTTACCTATGAAAGGCAACAATAGCATGGACTATGGTGTTGAGCGTTTGCTGTAGTGACTGGGACACATGGTGAGCTACTGCTACAGGAGCACACAACCTGAGATCATTCAGTCCCGTTAGTATGCTACAATGTTTGGTTACCTAGACATTACTGAGCTTACCTATGAAAGGCAACAATAGCATGGACTATGGTGTTGAGCGATTGCTGTAGTGACTGAGACACATGGTGAGCTACAGCCACAGGAGCGCACAGCCTGAGATCATTCAGTCCTGTTAGTATGCTATTGGTGTAAGCTGCTAGAGGAGGATGCTCCATCAGAGATGGTGGTGGAATGTTGGCTCCATCACTCTGAGAAGGAAAAGAGGAAAGATGACTTAGATGATTAGTCTGGAAATTGTTTTTGCTTAAAACCCACAGCAGTTCAAAATGTTCTAAAGGTCTAAATGAATCAGATTTTTGTCCTCACATCAGCACAGATTACTTGTATATTAAATGAACTAATGTTTGTGACCATAAACTCTACCAATTTTTTTCAATTTGTACACAAAAATAGTGATTAAAATGCATTGAAATTGTGGTTGTTATTATCATTATTCAAAACCCTACATCAAGAAGATGTTTGTAAAGACTTCTATATAATGTAATATAACTCCCATTTCTTCGAATATCGGATCGCAGGAGGATTGTATACTGTGCGGTGGGCGGAAAAAATATGATATCAGGGGGTCAGTGACACAAAAACGTAACTCCATTTTGGCCATTTTTTGAGAAAAAGTGGTTTAAAGATAGAGGTCCACTTGGGCCTTAAAGAGTTAAGTCTATGTTTCACTAGTCATTGACTTCAATGGGGTGTTGGGTGGAGTTAAGTCTTTGTGTTTCCTGGAAAGTCCAAATTTTTCTGAACATTTTGATATCAGATGCTCATTTTGACAAAATATGGAGTTACGTCTTTGTGTCACTGACCCCTCGATATTGTCTTTTCATGAACCGATCAACTCCAAAGCAAACTAGAAATAGTGACTTACCTGATTGCTTGGAATGGATACCGATGACATCGCAAGGAAAGCTTGTGAAGCGACCGGTGTGTAGGACTGCATATCTTGCTCAAACCTGAAGAAGAATATATAGTAAATGCATTATTCTACACATCTTGATTACATTCATTTATTTTATTTTGCAAATCAAATCACATAAATACAACAATATAACAAACATGAATTGAGACAAAATCAATAGAAAACATATATAAATATTGCAATAGCAGGTGCATCCAGTCAAGCTGCCCGGGTATGGTAAAAGTTAACCTAATAACTATGATCCTTCCCCTCATATGAATAAGGGAAATTTATCTTCCTAGGGTTATTCATAGTTCCGGACTGGATAGATATCGCGTAGTCCCAAATACATCTTTCTATGTACAGTGCTCGTAACTTTACCAAGACTGGGCCAAATTTCTTATTATTTTGATGATTCCAGAACCTTGTAGTACACACCAATACTTATATGCTAGATGATCAATCTTTTCTGGTCGATTCCACACCGTTTCTTTCACAATGCAATCGCATGACCTGGGGGGTGTTTCACAAAGATCCTAAGTCAAACTTATGTTGGACTTAAAAATTATGGAGAGCCATTTGTAGCCTAAAAATAAAATATTTTCATAAGTAAAAATTGAAGTATTTTAGACTTTTCATAAATTCCACATCAAGAACATGAAATCTCCCTGATAATAGAAAGTATGAATCATTTGAATCAACATTGTATGCCTTTTGAAATAACTTTAACAAAATATTTTCAATGATGCTCACAGCTTTCCATAATTTTTAAGTCCAACTTAGAGATAAGTTCAACTTAAGATCTTTGTGAAACACCCCCAGAACTGGTCTATACCTTTAAGCATACCTCTCTGATGCTGATTTCAATGTTGATAGAAAGCTATGCAGTGCAGCTCTCTGGAAGATGGGTGCAAGAAGCCCTCTGAAGTCTGCTCCTACTCGACTGAACGACAACCCAAAGTACATACACTGGCCCAGGAGGGAGTCCAAGCGGTTCCCGATGCCGCGCTCTAAGTCTAGCTCCAGGGTGCGGAGGAACTGGGACACCTGCACGGGGAGGATAACAGGTCAAAGGTCATTTAAAGACGCATTGAACGACAACCCAAAGTACATACACTGGCCCAGGAGGGAGTCCAAGCGGTTCCCGATGCCACGTTCTAAGTCGAGCTCCAGGGTGCGTAGGAACTGGGACACCTAGACGGGGGAGAATAACAGGTCAAAGGTCATTTAAAGACGCATAGTACAGTCAAACCTGTCTATAGCGACCACCCAAGGGAAACACAAAAAGTGGCCTTTGTAGACAGGTGGTCTTTGTGGACAGGTGGTCACTAAAGCAGGTTTGACTGTAGTGGGTTTCATTGGGAATTTGACCCCATTCTGGTTTTTATAACAGTCACCAAGAGTTGACTTCACTTTTACAACAAAAAATGACTGGTGTAATCCACTGTGCCCTATCCTATCACCTTATGGAATTCTCATCATACATACCAAATTTCTCTCACCCTTGAGATTGAGCTATAGGCAAGTTAGGAGTATTATTATCTGGTGGGATTACTGGGTTTGCTGCTTCAGAGATCTTTGCACACATACAAATTAATTAGTAATTCAACTAAATGTAGTGCCAGCGAATTATGATGCAATATACAAGGACACTGACTACTATGTGGCCTTAATTTCTGGTAGGGTCAAGTTTTTAGATCTAGACTAATTAAGAGGGTTACACACACATGCGCACGCACTCATATACGTATAGATAGTTGGAGAGAGAGAGAAACGGACAGAAAAGCTACATAGAGAGTGAAAAGATTTCTTTAAATACGAGAGAGATAGAGAGAGGTGACTGAGTACATATCAAGAGACAGACAGACAGACAAACCGACATAAATTTTTATCCCTTTTTGTGCAACTCATCCCAGAAAGAGATTTAGTACAAACGGATAAACAGACAAACACCAGACAAGTAGACATACAAACACACAGAAAAACAAACAGACAGATAAACAGACTGAAATCAGAGAGACAAACAGAAACAACAGACAAATAAACACACATTTAACCTTCTCATCATCTGTATGATACATCCTTGAAAGAGAGCTCACTCGTTTGTAATCAAGTATAGACAGACAAACACACATTTAAACAAACAAATAAACACTCACACAAGCGGACAAACAAACACACAGACAAACAGAGAGATAAAACAGCATATTTATTCTTCTAAAAAGTTCTCATCATCTATGATCTGTATCACTCATTTCTGATGAGATAGGATCATCAGTACAGACAGACAGATAGACAAACAGAAAAACAGACAGATAGTCAAGACACATACACATCCTTACACACATACAATCTTCTCACCTTTTCTACAACCCATCCCTGGAATAGAGCTGCCTCATTGGTAACAGAGTCATGACTGGCTGATAAGATAGGATCATCATCAGAGAAGATAGCTCGGTATTGTGTTACGATGTCAAACAGGTGGACTCTGCTCGCTTCTATCACCTTCGTGATGTGCTGGTAAGCTGCAGACAATAAAGATAACATGATTTTTATTGTTATACTGTGGCAAGGTCAACTAATATTCACAGATCTATTCGATCAGGTAGCTAAGCCAAGAAATTGCACAAATAGTTTCATCCAGAACGCAATAGACGCAATGTTTATAAATCAAAAGTTCTTACTTAACATATCCGATTGAAAGCGTAGGTAAACATTACGACTAATTGAGATAGTACATGTATTTACCAGATCCAGATCCTAAGAAAGTGCTTCTACCTCTTTGAGATGAAATTATGATTTTTTAAATGATGACGCCTCTCTTCATGCCACTTCATTTCATTATAGAAGTATTTTAAAAATAAATATTGCACTAATAACATGTTTACTAGCTTTACTTTGTTGTTTTATTGTTTTGTATTATCAATCTTACCTTCATTAGAAGGTATGGCAGCTAGTATACACATGAATCATGCATCCCTACCCTGTAGAAAGTTCATCCACGACATAAACACAAACATGAACGCAAACATTATTTGTGAAACCTACCCTCATCTGTTGGTATGGCAGCTAGTATGCCCTGGAACCATGCGTCCCTTGCCTGTAGAAATTTGATCCTAAGCTCCGCCTCTGTGAAGAGATCCATGCGACGCAGGTAACCAATCAGACGCAAGCATGCAGGGAGCTGAATGGCTGAACGCATTTGCTGGATCAACTGGTTTAACATCAGGCGACTAGATGATTGAACTTCTTCAACAATGTCCTTGGAGAGAGGGAGAAACAAAGATTGGGTTATACAGTAGGCTTGCGGGTGCACCATGTGATAGAGAGGGAGGATTGAGGAGTCCTGAAAAGGACTCTCAGTAATCTTTCTTGAGGGTGTGTAGTCCTAAAAAGCACTGTTGGTGTAGTCTTGAAAAAGACTGTTGGTAATCTTCCTTAGCTTATAATTCTAAGGAGAGCTATAGCACCGGTTGGAGAGGATAGGTGGTAGGAGTGGCTCGATGTTTCGAACAGGTTGACTATCCGTCATCAGGAGTAGGGTTGTGTTTGGGTTATCTTGAGTTACTGTGTCGTGGTCAAGTAGATACGTCACTGGACTGTGGATCACGAGGTCCGCGGTTCGAGTCCCGCCGAGGCACTAATGCTTTTGACAAGACATTAATCTACATTTGCCACACTCGACCCAGTTGATGTTAATGGGTACCTGGCAAGGAGCGCTGTACAAGAACCGACTATTAAACAAAAACAGATTATAGCAACTGGAAACTTACAATGAATGTTTAAAGGCAGGGTATTTTACCAACATCACTACCACTGATTTAACCCTTAACACCTTACAGGCATATCCGATTTCGACGAAAATGGTATTAAAATGTGCGTAAGACTTGAGGGAAAAAGTCATGAAACGACCATTCAAAATTCCAAGCGGTTGCGGCGCTATCTCCGAAAATGTTGAGGGTCCCAGGCCCCCCCCCCCCCAGTACAGTAAGGGTTAATGAATTTTCAATTGCGACATCTTTAGGTGAAAGCCTACATAGAGCAAAATAGTTCCAAGTTATGGATGGTAGACAAAATGGGCATTAGAAAGATTGGGAATTAGACCAACTGGTTATTATATAATAATAATAATAATTGTAAATTTATAATGCGCAGTTTCTATATGTATATACTCAACTGCGCATGACATATTGGATATTATTATTACCCCGGCTTTAGCTGTGCTGCCATTATAGCGCTCTAGCATTTCAAGGAATAAATTCCTACCGGGTACCCATTTACTTCACCTGGGTGGAGTGTGGCAAATGTAGATCAATATCTTGCCAAAGGACATTAGTGCGGCGGCGGGACTCGAACCGCGGACCTTGTGATCGACAGTCCGGCGACGTATCCACTCGACCACAACACCTCTATTAGACTAATTAGACAATAGACCAAATGGGTAGTACACTAATTGGACATTAGACCATATGGAAATTAAACAGAATGAATATTAGCCTAAATGGTTATTAGACCAATGATAAGTAGACGAAAGGATTATAAAACCATGTGGATAGTAGACGGGCTGGGTGTAGACCAAACAGCATTAAAGGCATTGTTTAACAATGTTAAATCTGAGATGCATGGCTCTACATGTTATCAGTGTCTGTGACAAGGTGTAAAATTGAAGCCCTAACAAAAATTGTGCTTCAAAATGATCATGAAGTGCCTCAAAAAAGTTAAAATCTTTGATACGCTGGTTTTACCATACTAACTGTAGTGTTATAAAAACTGTTAGGAAAACGAAAAATGAAATTTCGATTTCAATCATAAATATCTTGGTAATCAGACAGGCGATTGGTTTGTAAAAGTCAAGGGATTCCTGACTGACCTAAAGGTTTATAATAATGATTGCAGCACGAAATCTAAATCAAAACCCAGCATTTTGTTTCAGAATCTGAGGCAATATTACCGAGTCACTTTAAACCATTACGCACTGGTGAGAACTTAGACTCCATATACAGGGGTGATAGTGAGCACTAAAAAAAGAAGAGGATTCGGGGAAAAAAATGACATCTAACAACTCCCCCCCCCCCCCCCCCCCTTTTGAGTAAGAAAAGTTGGGAAATAATAGGGAAGAATAGAGAAAATAAGGGGGAAATCGGGGGGGGGGGGGGGAATCGTGTAATCGGGAAACTGATTTAAATTGTTTTTTTATCAGGCCTGCATATACCTTTATAACCGGAATGCCAGCATGTTTCTTCTCCAATCGCTTGACATACGCTGCCAGCTCCAAGGCTTCGTCATAGTAAGCATTCCTGACGCAGGTATCCATGAGCTGAGGTATCTCAAGGATCTCCAACAGCTGGGTGTGCTTGGAAAGCGTCAAGGAATTCATTCTCCGGCTGCAAGACGGAGAGAAAAGAAAGTTGGTGACTGAGCCCAGTAACATACAAAATATGATTCCTTGTATTTTCCCTAACTTACTACATTTTACATCTTACACAGGACGAATCTGTTAAAACTGCACAAAGTAGTTCACCTTATTCAAAATTTGACTTATGAAGTGGAAATGACACGTTTTGCATAGTTTGGTCCAAAAAATTCATATGACTTTCAGAAAATTTGACTTGTGCAACTTTGAATTATGCAGATCGAGTTAGCTGTATTTCTTTGATTAATCCTAAACCCAACCTCTCTCACTATCTATACTCTCATCTATTTATCTATCTATATTCATTCATCTATACAACTATCTATCTATCTCTTGTCATCTCTTTATCTAGGTATCTACAGTACATGTATCTCCTTCTGTTTTTTATTCTTTTGTTTTTCCTTCTTTCTCACTTCTTCCCCTCTTCTTACCTGGAGCTGATTTGCTGTGCTTCCTTCAGGAACTGGTTGCATCCTTCGCTGAAGTCTGGTAATTTGTCTAATAAGTGGTTCAGGTGCTGCTCTACAACTGCAAACTGAAAGGCACAAAAACACGTGTAAACAAAGGTGAGAAAAAAAATCACAATACAGAGATGTGAAACAATTTGTTTTATTACTGTTTGATCTAACAGATGGTCTACTACCCAATAGGTCTATTCCCATATGGTCTACACCCAGCCCATCTACTAACCACATGATCTAATACCTGTAGTCATTTGTATACTCATCATTTGGTCTATTGACCATTTAGGCTCATAGTCATTTGGTCTAATCTCCAATAAGTATACTACCCATTTCGTCTATTGCTCATTTAGTCTAATTTCCAGTTGATCTGATTCCCAGATTGTCTAATGCCCATTTTGCCTACTACCCATATGGTCTAATAATCATTCGATCATGAATAACAATCATCAAGAGAATACAGTAATTGTGTAGTAGATAAACTGGTTGTAGACCAAACGCCAATTCACCTACAATTTACACATATTTTAATCAGGGTAAAAAGAACCCAATAACCAACTGAAAAGTAAGCCAGAGCAAAAGACACAAAGATCCCCCCCCCCCCTCTGTCTCTCTCTTTCTCTCTGTGCATTAAGTTAGCATCGCGATTTCATTAATCATAATTATCATAGTCACATTCATGAAGGACTTCATACTACATTTCTAAGTGAAAAAGTTTACAGAACGTGAATCAAACAGCTTACATCTTCCACTATCTCCCTGGAACAGTCTGCCGTTTCAATGAATGTCTTGTAGTTATCGAATGCTAGCTCTTGAGTCTGTTGAAGGACCTGTGACCTTTCATCTGACAACCTCTCTGGCTCGCGAGCTGAGCAGCATTGGATAAAGAAAAGAGAAAAGGAAGAGAATCAGATCTGGATCATTTCAGTTTAGTTTGTTTTATTATTATCCTTTCGCAGCCTCAGCTGAATTACATGACAATTTACAATCAATTTGAAAATAACATCACATTTCATTTCTAAACAACATATTTCATAACACAATGCAAAGGTATATCCAAAATAGATACTTTACATGTAATATAATTAATATTAGTTAATCTGAAAACATAAATATTTACAGTTTTCTTAGTCTATTTCCAGGAAATTTTATATGGTATTTAAATTTGGTTAATTTAGAAAATGAACAAATGACTTACATAGTTTGTCCACTCCAAACGAGCTGAGCTCCGTCAGGTACAAGGCAAAGTCTGGATTCTCCCGCCATGATTCTAGAGATGGAAAGAAAAAAAAAGAAACAAGAAATAAAAAACATTTCACTTTTGTAATCAATTCAGACATTTTCTAGGTGTTTCTGCTATTCTCCTAGCTAGGTTCAGCTCCCTTGTTGTTTACTAGACCTACATGCTTTCTTAGCAGTCAGTTAAATCGTTCATCATGAAAAATCATCAAACACGATGATAGAGTAAAGGAGGGGGTAAACGACCAGCTCCAGTTTTCGGCTGATCCATTGGACGCAAGGTAAAATCCCTAAAATTTCACAAGTCTTTTGTTTTTTTCCTATTTATTTGTCTTCTTGATCGGATTTCATAACATGTGAAGTAGAATATCATTTTGCATTCTATTATCTCAATCACAAGAAAGAAGGAAAAACATGAAATTTGATGTACAAAAGGCATGGAGAGTTGTCCACAAATGATGTCATCAAATTGAATATCGCCCTCTAGTGACTAGTCCTTTCAAAATGCTTTAACTTCCTTATTCCTTGCCCGATTTTGTTCAAATTTTCACTGATTTTATTCAAATATCTTAAACTTTACAATAAAAGTAACTTGTAAGAAGGTTTTGGTTCCCAGTTGCTAATTACCATATTCATGAATACCTATTAATTAGCATATGGGTCATTCCATCGGGTTGGGTCATAAATTGTGACATGAAGGTTCAAAATTCAGAGTTGTTAAATAATTTGTTTATTGTTATATCCTGTTTTTAACACCCATTCTTCAATAGATTCCACTGGAATTGTGTGTATTCCTTCGCACACTTTCATTTAAAATGAAAAAACAGACACACCAAAAAACCAACGTTACAAGGACATCTTTTTTTACTTGCTCATTTATTTTCTGATCTGAAACTTTGTCACAGTCTGTACTCCACTTTTTTGTGTGTGGAAAACATTTAGATGATGGGAGCAATAGTTTAGAATACTTAAAACTTGAACACAGCAACATTATATCAATTTATAAACATGAAACAAATGAGGAACTAGCAATCTTCATATCATGTTTTTTTCTAAAGGGTAATCTTTTCTCTTGCATAGAAAATCTTGGCTACATTCCATGAAATGTGCCAATTAATTGATGCATGAAACATATTTAATGAGATGATAACACAATTGAAAGGAAACCTGCAAGATTTATGGTCTATATTCACCTCAACACCTCCAGTTACCAACGTTACACGGACATCATGTCCGAGTAACATCAGTATGATATTAGAGTAACTATCCTCTTATACTCATTGAAAAATGACAGACTACATCAAATGTCATCTGAAATATATTTTATCCCTTGATCAGTAAATTAAAAAACAGTATTCATACAAGAGGTATATTGATAGATATCAATGATCAACTTTATATCTTCTTCAAAATAGTGATTAGATTGGAAAGATCTGTTTTCCAGGAAGGTTTCGATGACTGGTCATTTTGCCTGCTCTCTTGATCTCTCTCTGCCGGAGCTGAATCCTCAAGGGAGGCAGAGGAGCCATGAATGAAATGGATGCAGCAATCTAATAAATATGCATGAAAAGAAATAAATAAAAACCAATGAGTACAGAATATTAAATGAGATAAAAATAAACAAAACTGTAAACTGTTTCTGTGATTTTTCATTTCAAACGTGTGTTGTGTTTGCAATTATTGAGTACTTCTATCTAGATCTGTTGTAAAATCAAATTGTAAGAATTAAGGATGGAACAACTAGACAGAGGATTGCAAGATGGATAGGGAGTTCCTCACTTTTGGCTCGTTGCATGCCCAAATAGAAGTAGGTATTATTATTGGTTGTTCATTTTGATTTTTCTTTTAAGTTTAATATTTGTGTTGAATTATAAATTTTTGTTAAAAAATTATAATTGTTATTTATCATTATTTGGAGGGGGAGGGAAGGTAGTGAAGCCCCTTATCCCTCACTTCAACCTTTGGATGAGGGGGGAAGGGGAGCCAGATCAATGATTATTTCATTTATAAAAAAAATTTAAATTAAAAAAAAGGCTCATTACATTATTATGTATCCAATTTTAATTGAATCGGGGGGGGGGGGGGGGGTGCCCTCCCCTTTAACCCATTCTTCTCTATCTCAACCCCAACCCTCAACCCCTTTTTTGCCAAAAAAGTTGTGTATTTCGGGTCTCAGATTGAACTTCCTAACTTGAAGGAAGCAATGTTCAATAACTTGTGTTTTTCGTTAGGCTTAGCCATCATTGTTCAATGACAATTAATGGCACCATATAAATAATATTAATTAATTTAACACTTGTCAGAAAAAATCTGAGGTGTAGGAACATCATGAATATCATTATTTACGGGATTCTTATAACAAAATTCAATTTCTGTTTAAGAAACTAGCTTTTTAAGGGTAAAAGTCCGGCATTGATTTTGCACGTTTCGTTATAACACATATATCAGTATGTGGGACAACAGTAAAATATTCACTCACATGTGATGGTTTGAAAACCGGTTTAAGTTGAAAATAACACAATTTAAAACGGAATTACATTTTTAAAACATGGAATTTCATTGTCCATGATAATAACTCGGGCCATAAAAATAACTTAAAAAACATATTACGTACCAATTTGGGCGCTGACGGGCGAAAATGGCTGCACCACGTTACAAAGACATCTTCACGTTTGTGGTTGCACTGTAGGGGTAGGTCGTCGCAGTCCGGCAAAAAACATGTTCTGCGCATTCGTGAATAACTAGTAGGCATAGAGATATATATCTCTATGCTAGTAGGTCATTTTAACACCGAAAACTGAAGCTAGCGGGCTGGTTTATATCTCAAACACCGTAATTTCACACCTACGTTACCAAATTACGAAGGACATCGCGCCCGATTTTCGCGGTAAATTAATTGTTTTCTTATATTTACCGACCGATTTAATCATCATTCTTTCTACATATGTTCATGAGGGGTTGTACCTTCCTAATAAGATGAAACTTTCTGAGAAAATATCCTGCTAAATTTGTGTAAAATGCTAGAATTACCGCCGTTACGAAAAAAGTGCCTAGGACATTGTTGGTAACGTAGGTATTGTGTTTTTTCAATATGGAATAACTTGCCAATTTTTTGCACATTTCACTTGAGCTTCTCAGACATAGTAGGGGTACTAAAGGTGACATGTTTTAAGTAGAAAACATTGCATTATGATGAACTTTTTTCCAGAAATAAGTTCATGAAAATGACATGTTTTCATGTCACAACTTTCACCCTCAAAATCGCTGAGACATCGGTAGTAAAACTCTCACCAAAAAAAAAAATATGATGAAGAAGTTTCTGTTTTCATGTTTATTTATTCTGTACTACATTACTCTTCAATATAACATACTTCAGGCCTTAAATTTCGTCATTTTTAGGGCAAGGCCAGTTTGGCCTCGAGTACCTCATATTTTTAAGGGCACCAAGGCCAAAATATTTTTAAAAAAAGGGCATCGAGGCCAAAATATTTTACAAAAAGGGCATCGAGTATGAGGCCAAAAAAATTGATTCTATTTTTGTTAGATGTCATGTGTATTTTATGAAACTTGTGCAGGATCAATTTCCCATGACTTTTAGCACCAGCTTCTTCACAGAATGTATAGAGGTCTACGGTACATACAAACAAGCAGGCGCGTAGCCACGGGGGGGGGGGGGGGGGGGGGGGGGGGGGGGGGGTGCCCCCCCTAAAATTTCCAGGATCGGTTTGAAATTTTGTAGACCCCTTTTTGGGGGGGGGGGCACGTGCCCCCCCTAAAATTTCCAGGATCGGTTGAAATTTTGTAGACCCCTTTTTTGACCTCGATCGATTACATGTATGTGCCCCCCCAAACACCAAACTCTGGCTACGCGCCTGCAAACAAGGCGGCGGCCCGCAAGCCTTAGATTTAGCAGCCAGGAGCAAGGGGCAATTTTTTTTTTAAGTTGCCCTTTGCCACGGGGATTTACCAGAGCAAGGGGCAATTTTCCAAAAACAGATAGGCCGCTTATCTAATCATAAGTTCAAAGAGAGTCTAGACTCTACAAAATAATTTCATAATGTGAATAGATCGAACGATCAAATTAATAACTTTTTAATCTTAACAATATGAACAGGAAAGATTGATTAAGAACATCAAACTTGCACATTAAACAGTATTTTAAAGTAACTAAAAATATTGATGAGCAAATGAATAAATAAATTGTCAATTTCACAAACATCGAAAGTCAGAAGGACTTAATTGGCAAGTTTACCGGGCCGGGTATTCCAAATCAAAATCGCACCTCACACACAAACCTTCCGCCACTCTCTCGGTAGTACGAGCAAATTTGAAGAAATTATCTTTTTAACTGTTGTATAGAAAGGTCTACATAGGCCTAACTAATGAAATAAGATGTAAAAATGTCCTTATAGACATTCGACAGCTGAAAGTGACACGCTCAGCTCAGCTCAGTTGCGTAACGTGCATTCACGAAACCAAAATCGGTCCTCGCACACACACCCTCGCCACTTTTGGTGGGAAGCTGTCGGGCTGGAAGTTTGCCAGCGAAACCGATGCACCCTCGGAATTTTACCGGGACTCGAAACGTTCGTCTTGGGAAGCTGGCGGGGTAGCTTTTTGAAGCGAGGTCGGCTGGTGGCAAAATGAGAGTAACTACGATCGAGAACATCGTAGGTGTTCTTAACTTATTAATAAGATAATTCTAAATTCTATTTGAGATAAAATAATAAACTAGGCCTACAAACAAACCTCGACAGATCTCTAATGACTATTTGAATGCTTGTTTATTTCTCCATTTGACGATTTGTTTTCTTGATCCTGGCCTTCGATTTGTAAGTACGTGCGTGCGTCAACAGCATGCACCATATATGCATATCATGCGATCGCATAATATGAACGTACGTACGTACGGTACGTGCGCTAGCGCATTGCCTATATAATAACAAAGGGCGCATTTTCACGGCACTTGCGCCTTATTAAAGCACTAAATACGAAGCTAGAAGAGAGCTCGTGGGCGGCAAACTGTTCGTGATTCGTCTATTTTTACTGTTCTAATAATTTATGGGCGCATTTTCACGGAAAACACTTGCGCCTTGCCGTCTAGTTTTAGATGATTATGGGCGCAATTGGTGGTTTTATGTGCGCAAATTTAAAATAAAAAGGGCACGTCCAGTTGGAAAAAAAAGGGCACGGCCTTTTTGGCCGTGAATATATCTTTTTTTGGGAGGGCACCGCGGCCAGTCATAGGGGCATCGACGGCCTGGCCGTCGATGGCCGTCGATTAATTTAAGGCCTGATACTTTTATTTTTCTAAAAATACATTCAAATTTGAGTAAATAGCTTCTAAACATTCGAACACGTGAAAATGCTGAAAAGACCCAACCCGATGGAATGACCCATATGAACAAAATGCCATTCGTTTGGGTTTGTACAATTTTGTATGCAGTGAGTATTTTATAAATCTGTTTTGTGTGTTCCTACTATGGGGATTGTGCTGCTAATTATTTCAGAACAATATTTTCAGTTATGAGGCTAAAAACAAGTAAAATTATTAATAAATAGAGAATTAGAATCATATTTCCCGTTTTTTTACATATTTACCGGACGCGCATCTTATTTACTGGACGGTATTTACCGGTATTTACTGCCGGTAATTACCGCCACCGGTATTTACCGCCCAACCCTGACAAGGGGAGCACCCGGGAGCTCCGGCGTGGGATACCTGCTCCGCCCACTTGTGCTATAGATCAGCACGGAAACGCACGGCGCACGCGCGCGCTTCCTATCGACTTTGTACATGCGGTCGTAAACTGACTCGCTAGGTCGATAACCGGCTCCAAAACAGTGAAAATTGAAATGAATATTGTCATGGCAATTCGTGATTTTTTTCTGGGATTCTTTTTTTATTTAAATAATAATATTTGCTTCATGATTTGAACAAGAAATGATAAATAGGAAGTAAAGAGTCCAAAAAATAGGATTTTGTCTTAAGTGGCCGAAAACCCCCTCCCTTACTCTACATCCCTTTGGTCACTAGGCCTACTCAAAATACATGAGGAAAACATAATTTGCGGACCTCTACTGCCATAAACTGTGAGCTGCAAAAGGAATTACTCCATCATTCATCAAGCTGACATAGCAGCCATCACTCATCCATGTACGCAGAGCTCAGGGCCCCGTCTTACAAAGAGTTGATATCAATCGCAACTAATTTGCGATTGATATCAATTGCAACTAGAGTAAAGGAGCCGTTTTTCGGCCACTTAAGACAAAATCCTATTTTCTTACAGACACGTGTATGATACTCGATTTTTCAGATTTGGGTAGCGGGACCGCCGATTACATCGCTAAAATGTGATATTTTAGGATATATTTTCCATTGCAAATGTGGTTCTTCAGTGACTCTGGCATGGTATGATATGTGTGGGATATGTGTTATGCTATTATGCGATGTATTTTAAAGGGATTTTATCATGCATCCAACGGATCGGCTGAAAACTGGAGCTGGTCGATTACCCCCTCCTTTACTCTAGATCCGAGATAAGAGACTGCAAACTTGTGATTGATCGGAGGACTTACGATTGATTTAGATTGTAGCGGCTCTTACATTCGCCCTACTTACATTCGCCCTACTTTCACCGTACATTCATGTCTCCAGTATTTTTCCATCACGCTACTTATTTATATTCATTATTCGGGCCACGTGTGTATTTCTTTCCAATCGCGCATCGTGGTTCCGCACTGTTCACCCCGCGTATTTTCAACGCCACGAGGTTTTTCTCCACTCCCGCTTTCACCTTGGTCGAGTCAAGACGTCTCCGCAATTTCCTCTCCAGGCTGTATTCTTCTGTGCCTTTCGTCTTTTCTACGGCACGTCAACTCTTTCTCTGCCGTGTTCATCGGGCTGCAGTCTTCCAGTGGAACAGTTAAATCAATATCCGACATGGCGTTTGATTCTCCGCGGGGAGCTGCCAGTTTCTTCACCGGTAGCCTTTCACCACATGAGCTCGACTCACCGCAGCTCATCTAAACATTCATCTTCAAAGTTCGGCTCATCAATCGAGCGACTCACTGCTCAGCACCACTACTTGCTTTGATGTCTGCATTTTCCACCTTGGCCTCCGACATCAAACGACTCACTGTTTCATCGTCGAGCGTCACTTTCTTCTCTTCTCTTCTCTTCTCGCCTGAGAGCTTCTTCACTATCTTCATCACGGACGTCAGCGTCGAGATTCTTCACGGCTCTTCAGCCACGACAACGAAGCTACATCTCCGCCTCTTCAAGCCTCCGCACATTTCATCGCGTGAGCCCCTTCCTTCGTTCTCAACTCTCTTCATCTTCATTGGACTTTCGACTTCATTTCTACTATTGTCGTAAGCTCTATTTATGTACATCGCATTTATTCACGTTCATTATGTACATCGCATTTATTCATGTTTATTATCATCATTGATCATTATGTAATCTCCGTGCAATATTCACATTTACCATTTATGCATTTTCATTCCGATTCTTCGGCTTGTGCTTGGCTACACTTTGCAAGTGTACGGCCAGCCTCATCAGTACGGCCAGGGTGCTACAAGAATTTTTTTCACCACTTGCCCTGTCGGGCAAGTGGGTTTTCAATTTACTTGCCCAAACAATATTTCCACTTGCCCAAACTTTAAAGCGAAAAAGGACTCTGATCTTGAGACCGCAGTAATAAATTGAAAACGAGACAAAAACATTCATCTGATTTATATGAGCAGCGAGTTTTAAATAATATGTTCACAATCATTAACAGTCATTATGAATAAATATCAACATTTGACTTTTTGTACTTACTAGAAAATCCCTGTTGTTTATTCCATTCCGATTCGCACGTGTTCATTTCCCTAGAATAATGACGTCATATTTGGCGTGATTCAACCAATCGGCAATCAGAGAATAGCAAAGGCCTGTCGGCGCGGCCTGCAGAGCTAGAGAGAGAGAGCGCGAATAAGCTCGCAGCTGGTACGATCGCGCTAGCTGTCTCTAGCTAGCTCACGGCCGGCCGTGCGTGGAGGCGGAGCGGCATTCATGGCTTGAAGTGTCACTGTTGCATGCGCGCTGAGCTAGCTGAGCTGGCTAGCTGTCTGTGAAGTTTTTTCGAAATCGGAACGATCGCTTTTTTGCTTCTGGATTTTGACGACGGGTAAGAAGTTGACGGGTGAATGGTAGAGTTCTTGGACACTAGGAAATTACTGTAAAAGTATCACTTGCCCGAATCGGGCAAGTGATAATTTGATTTACTTGCCCGACGGCTCAATTTGGTTGCCCCGGGACGTCGGGCAAGCGGGTTTGTCGCGCCCTGAGTACCCAATAAACATAACGAAAAGGGAATACTTTCTTTTATGTATTTTATTGTCAGTGCAACCTTGTTTCCTTGTAGCTAAATAAAAATAAGAGTTAGAGTAAAGGAGCCCGTTTTCGGCCACTTAAGACAAAATCCTATTTTTAGGACTCTTTACTATCTATTTATTATCATTTCTTGTTCAAATCATGAAGCAAATATTATTATTATTTAAACAAAAAAAGAATCCCAGAAAAAATCACGAATTGCCATGACAATATTCATTTCAATTTTCACTGTTTTGGAGCCAGTTATCGGCCGAGCGTTTCAGTTTACGGCCGCATGTACAAAGTCAATAGGAAGCGCTCGCGCGCGCCATGCGTTTCCGCGCTGATGTACAGCACATGCGGGCGGAGCAGGTATCCCACGCCAGAGCTCCCTGGTGCTCACCTGGCCGAAGACAGGCACAGCGGTGATCGGAAGTTGGAATCTAGAATTAGACAGAGATATCGTGTGTGCGTCGCGGTGTGCGGCTGCATTGATTTAATACATGCGATGAGATACTTTTGAGCTTGCGACTAGCACAAAATCGGGCTCTAAATCTGAAAAATACTTGAAATAAAGCTCATTTTATGGTACCCATATTTCTTACAGACACGCGTAAGATACTCGATTTTTCAGATTTGGGTAGCGGGACCGGCGATTACATCGCTAAATGTGATATTTTAGGATATATTTTCCATTGCAAATGTGGTTCTTCGGTGACACTGGCATGGTATGGTATGTGTGGGATATGTGTTATGCTATTATGCGATGTATTTTAGAGTGATTTTACCTTGCATCCAACCAATCGGCCGAAAACTGGAGCTGGCCGATTACCGGCTCCTTTACTCTAGACTATGTTTGTGTGACGAGTGAACACGCTTTCAAATATCCATTCACAATACCTCACACTCATATTAGGGTGTCTGATCGCGCACCCGATGTTGTGTGCTAAAATTCTTCCCATAGAGATTACACGCATCCCTATGCAGCCTACGTGCATTGCGCGACCATGCAAAAAAAGTCAATTTTTTTTTTTCAAATCGAGATTCAAACCTTTATCTGTTGTGATCCTGAAGGTGATATCAATGAATGAGGTGTCATATGAAAGAGCAGGTGAATTCCAATATTTCCAAAGGGCGTAGCCCCCGAAATTTTAAAAATATCTTGGTCAAAACAGCAATTTAAACATTGTGTCCTGGCTAACTCTGAGGTTTGTCACTTTTGAGATATGACGCCCCGATCGATAAGTAGTCCCAGTCCTAAGGAACAATTCTATGTGATTATATTTTCGCTAGCCCCCAGGGATCACAACTGATAACAGTTTAAAAAATACCCTTCTCGCTATTTGGTGGATCAGCTAATTAGGGGCGTGCGCTCCGCTCAGTCCAAACCATGGTTACATCGCGTAACATCTCCGCGCACGAACGAAACCCCAAATTCAATTACACATTATAGTGACTGAAATTATGGTTGGCAATTCCCTCGATAAACCCGGAAGTGAATACACGTTATAGTCAATGGCAATATCGCGGAGACATCTCCGCGATATTGCCATTGACTATAACGTGCATTCACTTCCGGGTTTATTGTGCCTCGAACGCCAACCATACTAGTCAATGGCACATGTCGCGGAGACAGCGTAGCTCAAGCTGCAAGTCGCGGATTGGCTTAGCAGCATGCGTACGATATGCATACGCTTGCATATCGCGCGATACAGCTGTTTGGCTAAATTTAGCAAAACAACATCACTCTGCGTGGACGTCTTTTTCGTCGATGTTGACCAAAATGATATGAATATACCAGCGTTTTGGAGGGGCTGTAACTTTTGATAGAAACATCGGTGAGACTTGAAATTTGAAATGTATTATTCTGATAACATTTTATTAGGGTGTCTGAACGATTTTTCAATTTTCAATTTGGGATCGTTTTTCACCATTTTTGTTTGATATTTGAATTAAAAATGTAATCAGATAATACATTTCAAATTTCAAGTCTCGCCGATGTTTCTATCAAAAGATACAGCCCCTTCAAAATGCTGAAATATTCATAGCATTTTGCTCAGAATCGACGAAAAAGACGTACACGCAGAGTTATGTTGTTTTGCTAAATTTAGCCAAACAGCTGTATCGCGCGATATGCAAGCGTATGCATATCGTACGCAAGTTGCTCAGCCAATGCGCGACTTGCAAGCTTGAGCCACGCTGTCTCCGCGATATGTGCCATTGACTAGTATGGGTGGCCGTTCCCCTATAGAACCCCGGAAGTGAATACACGTTGTAGTCAATGGCAATATCGCGATATCCGCGATATTGCCATTGACTACAACGTGTATTCACTTCCGGGTTCTATGGCGAGAATCGGCCACCCATACTTTCATTCACTATAAGCGCACATGTTACGATGTAACCATGGTTTGGACTGAGCGGAGCTCACGCCTCCCTAATTAGCTGATTCCAAAAATGTGGGAAGGGTATTTTCAAACTGTTATAACAAATGATCCCTTGGGGCTAGCGAAAAAAAAGCATCTGGATATTATCCTTACGTCTAGCCCTGCTTAAAGCCGCGGGGGCGCAGCTCAGGAAAGTGGCAAATTTTGGAGCTAGGATGCAAACAACATTTCAATCGCTGTTTTGACCAAGATATTTTTTAGAATTCTGGGGGTGGCCCCCTATGGGGAATATGGAGAAAAACCTGCTCTTTCATATGACACCTCATTTATTGAGTTTCACCTTCAGGATCATTTGTTATAAAGGTTTGAATTTCAAATTTTTTCATAAAATCATTGACCAATTTTGGATGGTCGCGCAATGCACGTAGACCACATAGGGAAGCGTACAATCTCTATGGGAAGGGTTTTAGCACACAACATTGGGGTGCGCGATCAGACACCCTAATTTTATATTCAAATATCAAACAAAAATGGTGAAAAACGATCCCAAGTTGAAAATTGAAAATCGTTCAGACACCCTACTCATATCTCTACAAGATCAATCACAACTCTTTGTAAGACGGGACCCAGAGCTGCCAACCTCCAGAACAGAAAATCGCGCAAACATGCGCACATGTCCATGATTGTTTGAAATTTTGGTGATTCTATTCACACAAAAACAGTTGCAATTTCTATTGATTATCAAAATATCAGCTCATGACAAAACATCAGTTTTCCATGAAAAATTGTCTTCTTAGAATACCGCCATACTGCACAGCACTCGCTCCGATAAACCATATTTACGCAACAACAACCAAAAAACAAGTCACGGGTCCAAATGGTCACAGTTGTGGACAAGCGCCCACACCACAAACACAAAAATAAACGAATGGGGCACTGTACAAATTTACTCCCAAACAAATTACAACACATGGAATCACCGAAACGAAGAAGAAAACACAATTTTTATCCATCATATTTGGTTTCTTAAAGCATATAAAATGGAATGTGTATAAGAAAATACGTTACCAGGGAAAGAATCTTTAAAAACGGCGGTCAAAATAGTTTCGTCTTCCACGTCCACAGAATCAGAGGATGCCATTTTTGTGATCGGTCGTCTGCTCAGCTCTTGTTGTTTTTGTCGGGTTTATTGGCGCTAAATATCAATCGATTTCGATGATTTCCGCCAGGCTTGATGTGAGAGGGCGTCTTGCTCTTTCTTCTGCAGCTCTGTTTCTTTGATTCTGGTATGCCAAATTATGTGAGATAAAGTTTTTTTTTTTTTTTTTTTTTTTTGTAAAAGCTTTTTTGCCTTTATTTAGATTTTCATAATTATACAAATGATAAATAGGAACATCATTGTTCTTACAGTATAATCATAGTAGGCCTACATTGTCTCATACATTAAAAACGGACAAATTAAATAAAATATGTTCCATATATGAGTAGACCTATCCAAGTAATATAATAATAATAATAATAATAAACAATATTTATAAGGCGCTTAATACTGGTGTCTCTAAGCGCACCATATTCTGACTTAACAATTATTTACCAAAACTTATAATAAACAATATATTCAATCAAGTGTACAAATTGTGATACAATTCTGCAATTTGGGAGGGAAAAAATAGATTTTTTCAAAATAAAAAAAGAAAAGGTGACGGTAATACATTTTAATATTTTTTGATACATATTTGTACAAAGGAAGAATTTTTACAGCATAAATATATTTTCTTATGCAAATTAATTAGTTCAATAAAATGTAAGCAACCTGACTGAATAAGGATTTTCTTATAACCAAAAACTAAGTATAAGGTAAGGTGCTTCATAACCCATAAGCAGGGGGTGGTTTAACCGCTCCCCCTCAATTTTTGTTTATGTATGTGTTTTGGAGGAACCCCCCCCCCCCCCCCCCCCCCCCCATTTAAAAAAAAAAAAAAAAACCTACTGAACAAAATATCGGTCGGCTTAATTTTCAATTTCCGGGACAAAAAAAAATTGTGCTCTTAACTTTTTCTCGAGGTAAAGCCCATTTTTCACAATTTTTGGGTGTTTGCCATGCAAATTATACCCCCATTTTTTAATTTTTTTTTTTTTTTAATGGGACCCATGTTTTTTATGAAAAAGAGATCCAGTACAGCGGCATGCACACCCCCTATAAGAGTATGTCTGGGTATACTCCATGTATTACCTGATATGTGTATGTGGTCTTCTTTTTGCTGTTAATTGTAGTGTTTGACATTTACTTCAGAACACAAAAATTGTAGAGGATTGAAAAAGAAGGAAGGATGAGCAGTCACCAGCATGCAATAGCGTATGGCAGGTAAACAAATTTGTTAAAGAGAAAAAATACAAGAGCCCCAAAACCACTCTTATGGCAAAGTAAAGACAAAATACAGGCATACATGTAAAAAGTGAAGGACAGAAAGAAAGAGAGAAAGAAAAAACGTGAGAGAAGAAAATAAAAGAACTGAACATTATTATTAATGTCTAACCTTTCTTGAATTGCTGTTCTTCTTTTTTTCTCCAGCGACAATATGATCATATCGCTTTGTCAAGTTGCATCATTGTAAAGATTAAAGGTAATACAAAGTTTTGGTATGGGGTCATGAATTTGGTTCAAATGAACATATTGGAAGCATATGCGATTCTACAATATTCAGTGATCGTTGTCGCGGTTGAAATTGAGTCAAAAGTTCTGAAATTGTAAATAATAAACTCTTTATGTTGTATAGCTCCCTCACAAGGTCAAGATATTAATTAAGCTATAAAACAATGTTTCTTGACTCAGATCGACCGATTAGCTATTCCCGTTTGGAAACTATATATCACAACTACATATTCTGAGATTTCCATGGTCGCAGCTACCATTGTATGACTGTAGGCGCTATTAGAAATTTATCGAAATTTACCGGGAGCACCGGTAAAATTTTTATATTCAATTTTTCTTGAAAACAGAAGTTTTTAAGGGGCTAAATTTTCTATTGTTTATAATACATCCACAGGGGAATCCAAATATATCAAAATTGTAGAGATTCACTAATCACTATCCACCAAATTTTCAAAATTTCCCAGAACTTTGTAATACCTTTAAAACACCATACAAACATTCATAAAATAACAATCTCAGACATGAGCACTCATTGTTTTCAAAAATGATATATTACACTTTATTACACTATAATACAATTCATTTGTAAAATAAGTAAAGAAATAAAAAACAAGTTTGAGGAATAAATGTCTGTAATCTAGAGTACCATTTCTCAAAATATTGGAGAACACTGGCAGGGTTTATTGGAAATTAATAAGAACAAAAAAAGCTCAAATGAAGTCAAGAAATTGATTTACGTCTCAATAGCAAGGTTAACTTAAGTTAACGTTGTGGTTTTAAACTTCAAAGTTTTTTACCTTGATTTCCTTATCTTTCTGTGCTCATTTCTCAGCCCCTATAAAACTTTACTTCCAAAATCGTTTGGCACATGTCATTTATTTGCAATCTTGAACTTTCAGTGTAATTTTATTGGTTTCTGTGACAATCTATGTTCTATCATTACTAGAATTCATGGTTATCTTTAACAGAGAATGATGCATTAAATTTGATTACTTAAAAAAATGGCCCCTTTCATCAGGATGGTTTTAGCTGATCTATGCATGGATAAAGCACATTGTAATACAGTACCAAAAACTTCTGCATGCACAGAACTTTTGACAAACTTGTGAGCAATCCGATTTGCAATATCCTTATGATTCTTATCACAAAAACAAAATTCTGGTTTGTTTAATATTTTACTATGGTTTGGAGAAGAAAAAAAACAGGTGTGTTGAAAGGGTCAACAAATTTGAAGGTCTTGCACACTTTTCCATGACTTCTTCAGGTTTTCTCCTTCAACAAACTAATAATGCTATATGGTTCTTAAAGGTAAAGACCAGTATTGGAAACGCCCCAATTTCAAAAAATGAAATGGAAGCTCTTATTAGCAATCATGTGAAAGAATATGTTTTGAATAATACATGATGATAAAAATTTCCGGGAAACCGCCTACTAATCGATATATTTGGTAAATTAGTGTATTTATTGATATGTGAGAGATAAAACGCACGTGTCGCGCACGTGTGCGTAGTCCCATATACATCTTTCTGTGTACAGTGCTTGTAACTTTATAAAGACTGGGCCAAATTTCTTATCATTTTGATGATTCCAGAACCTTGCAGTACATCTATGCTAGATTATCAACCTTTTTTGATCGATTTCACACATTTTTTTCACAATGCAATCGCATGACCATAACTGGTCTTTATCTTTAAAGATAAAGTTGAAATCTGGTCATGCAAAAGCATTGTGAAAGAAATGGTGTGGAATTGATCAGAAAAGGTTGATCATCTAGCATATAAGTATTGGTGTGTACTGCAAGGTTCTGGAATCATCAAAGTGATACAAATTTGGCCCAGTCTTGGTAAAGCTACGAGTACTGTACACTGAAAGATGTATATGGGACGAGACAAACATGTGGCATAAAAATCTGTCCAGATTTTTATGATGTTACATGATATGCAATATTTAGAATATTTAGGCATTTGAAGAGCCTTGATTTTCATGGAACATTTTTTATCTGATGTTCTTCCACACTTGCATAATAACAATGATAATGCTCACAAATTATTTCTCACCTCTTCCAAGAACTCAAACTTCTCTTTATAAAGTAGCTTACACAAAACTCACAAGCTTTTCAAGCAACATAAATAATTGGTCCAATTGTTCACTAGAGAATACAACGCTTTATACATTAAACTAGCAGTTTGTTCGACAATACACCTAACAGAAACAGGGTTGCTCTCCGGACAGGAAGATTCACGGATTTGCATCCCGTGCACTCAATATCAATATGATACTCTGCACAATCTGCACCTTCGGCATGTTGTCATTTTTTCTGGCGACATTCTTCCCAAGCTGTATACAAGCAGTAATTTCTTTCATATTGGATGATACAGTCAAACCTGTCTACAGCGACCACCCAAGGGAAACACAAAAAGTGGTCTTTGCAAGACAGGTGGTCTTTGTAGACAGGCTCCTTTAGTACATGTTTCAATGAGAAACCATTTTCAAAAGGAACAAAAAGTGTGGTCCTTGTAGACAGGTGGTCATTTGTAGACAGGTGGTCACTAAAGCAGGTTTGACTGTACAACTAATACTGTGCGTAGGGAGAAAATATGCATTAGATATCACCGCAGTAGGCTTGACAATGTCATCATCCACGTCATAATTCCTCCTGCCTACATATTCCTTCACAGACTTTATACTACAAGCAGTCTGTTCGTGAACATACTGGATAAACCAAGTATTGCTGTGCGGAGGGGAAGAGCGTTTGATATCATTACAGTGCAGTGTCTAGAATACATCATTATCCACGTGTTGTAATGCCTTCTGCATGCCCATATTCGTTTGCAGGCTATACAAAAGCAGGCTGTTCACCCAAAATCCATTCCTATTGCGATGCACTCTGTATCATGACAGAGCCCTGGACTATGTCATCACTCTCGTCGACATTCCCTCACAAGTTTCTTGAGTATCCCATAAGGCTCCGAAGATCACGGACAAAAGTCCATTTCTATCGCTATGCACTCAAATTGTTACATGGCTCTGGATTATGTCATCACCCACACCATGTAATCTAGTTTGTCGAAATTCCTTCACAAGTTGAGTATCCCATAAGGCTCCGAAGATCGCTGACAAAAATCCATTCCTATCACTATGCACTCGATATTGTCACATGGCTCTGAACATTGTCATCACCCGCAAGATGTAATCTAGTTCGTCCACATTCCTTGACAAGCTTATTGAGCAATCCATAAGGCTCCGAAGATCGCAGACAAAGTCCATTCCTATCGCTATGCACTCGATATTGTCACATGGCTCTGGACTATGTCATCACTCACACGATGTAATTTAGTTTGTCGGCATTCCTTGACGAGTTTATCGAGTTCTGCTGCCGTATATCCCATAAGGCTCCGGAGATCACAGACAAACTTATAGACGAACCTCTGACCGTGTACCTTGGCTATCATGTCCCCGTCATAGTAATATCTGAATAGAAAGATAGTATTTGGTAACAATATTAATAACTAGACATATAATACTTGTTTGGAACAAGTATAGGTGGGCTGGTCAACTAACATTTGAGACAAAATAGAGCAAAAATAAGCGACATACTGCTTACAAATTCTTAAAAGACAATATCATGTAGATTCATAACGTGAACTAAATTCACCTTCTATAGGCATAACACGCAAATTATGAAGTTTTTGACATGAGGCCTTTAATCAAAATTTTCACTATGATGACGTCATCAAAATGAAAAATAGTTATTACTGCGCTTGTAAAGAATTGTCTTAGCTACAACATATCGAAATTTTGAAGAAAATCGATCAATATATACAGAGAAACAATTAATTTTCCATAAATATGCTGACGTCATAATATGCAAATTCCTATTTTTAGTTCGAAGGCCATTATGATGATGTCAAAATAATTTTAATAGCCAAAAGAGACTTCAAATCATATTTCCGACTCATTCTCTATCAAAATATGAAAAAATATTGGGGGTCCAGTTCCATCCCAAAGAGCTATAATGGAATTTGTATACATGTAGGCATGTTTTTGCCCATATATGGTATGTATTACAAGAGCTCGCGCGCACAGACATTTATCTTGAATGGACGCTCATCTTTTTCTCAATGGTCATAAAGAGATAAACATGGTATCAAATTGTTCGCAAAAATATGAGAAATATCATGAAAGAAAAAAAATGGCGATTCTATGTTTTGTAATGGTGTTACTTGCGAAAACGCGCGCGCATGCGCGTGTGCGCGATTTTTTATAAAATGCTTAAAATGACTTGAAACGTATGCAAAATAAATTTGAGACGATTTTGAGCATTTAAAAATTTTGCGCGCGCACTGACGCGCGGAGGTACGCGCACGCGCGCGTTATTTGACCTGAAATTGACCGGACGGATATTGACCTCGATCATGATAAATATGAATGAGAAATAACTTTTGGTTATGAAGATATGATCATGAGTTTATTTTCAGAAAATTTCACAAAATGGCGCCTAGATGACATCATCAGTCAAGGTCAAGATTGAAATCCTTACCGCGCTTTGTCCATATGCCTATACATATGTGTGCCAAATTTCAATTTATTTGATTAAGCCATTTTCAAGTTATCTTGCTAACAAAAAAGTGGTAAGAATTAAGAAAAATAAATAATAAAGAATAAATAAAGGCGATTTTAACAAAAATATAAGGTGGTCTGTATTAGATACAGCCCACCTGATAATATGTCTTGTTTACCCAGAGTGACCATATCTATACCGATACTGTACTCCCTGAGGGTCCTGCAATCATTATTACCCCAGCTTAAAAAGAGCTACCATGAAAAGGCGCTAAAGCCTTCCAGGAATTTCTTCTTTCCCAGTAGGGCCGGTACCCATTTACCTCACCTGGGTGGAGTGTGGCAAATGTAGAATAATGTCTTGCCAAAAAGAGCCCTAAAACCTTGGATTTAGAGTCAAATGAATGAACCACTATACCATGACAAATAAATCAATAAATACAAACACTATTAAAAAAAGAAATAAATACATGTACAGAGAAATAATTAAACAAACAAATCAATGAAGGAATGAATGAAGACATAAATCAATTAACAATAATGTAAAAGAGCTATGGTTTTAGATGTTGAATGACCTAATAAGAATCATTAAAAAGATGAAACCAGACTAATATTGGATAGACCACATTGACAGAGAAACCGTTTTCTTACCTTAGCGCTCTGCTAAGCTTCTCATAGTTCATGGATGGTTTGTTCTTCCTCTCACCCCACTTCTGAGCAACAAGCTCCGGATCATTGAGGCGGAACTCACCATTAGTTCCTACCCAAGAGATAAAATCCATTGCGTCCTTGTCCGTTAACAGTTCCAACAAGAACTGCCACAGTTGAATCTGTCCGTTGTTACCTGTAGGCAGAAAATAATAATAATAACGATCATTATTATTTACAATTTCACATAGCACTCCGTCATTACTTATTTTACTGTAAACATAAAGGTTACAATGATTCAGTTCGCTTTTGCTAGCAATGGCTGTGCAGTCTATTGCGAAACAAGGAATTTCCATTATTATTATGTATTTCACGTCACCTGTGCCTGGGGAGGCTAAAAGCGAACTGAATCACTGTAACCCTTGGGTCTCTCCTCCCGGTATAACTGATTGGGATGTGCAGGCGGCCAACAACACCATAATTTTCCCTTACTCTTCATACAAATATTGCAATGGGTTCTTTAATAACGTGCAAAGATGGTGACTCTCCTCTACACTGGGCCTCCATTTAACGTCCTATCCGAAGGACGGAATGTTTTCCACTTTAACATATAGCATGCATCTATAAAACGGGAGGGGCTCGTTAACACACAATGCAGGCTTCAGTCATCCGTCTGGGTTGGATTCAAGCCCACAATCTTTGGTTCCACAGGCAGACGCTTTACCGACTGAGCCAGCTCACCTCCTCAACTGTAGCCTCATCTTAGAACAGTTTAAACAGGAATTTCCACAGCTGAATTCGTCCCTATCTGTTTTGTATTATTTTCATAGTAGATATAGTATGACACACAGAACACAGAGAATGCATAGGAACATTTGTTGCAGCCACATACTTTCATTTGTCCATATCTTTATTTTTTCTTTTCATCTATTTTGATATGGTTTATATGGTTTATTGATAAAAACATACATTCAAAATAGCAGCCAGAGGCTGTAACAAATTGAATTTACAAAAGATTGATACATACCGGTAAAAATAAGAAAAGAAAAGACAGAGAAACAAGAGAAGAGATTGAAACGGATGACTAGAGGATAATAGAAGGAGAACGAGTAACAGAAGGCAACAAGACAAATGTGGTAGAAGATTACAAGGACTGATAAAGACAAGAATAGAGAGAGAGAGGAAGATAGAAAGCATTTCATAAACATAACAAATCATTTCATTTTGCTGTGATTTTTTTAAAGGTGGTCAGCAAAATGTCAGAAGACGACTTTAAGGGTTAACACCTCACTCACAATTCCTGGATTTTGTTTCATTCTTATAATCATACAGTTTCAATCGAGAAACTCAACCTACCTGTCCTGTTTCCCGGGGAGAATTTGTCTTCCGTACTGCTACTCCTTGATACAGCACGAGGGCGCTTGGGCGTGGGCGCTGGTTTGACGGCAGGGGGTGCACCATTCTCCGTTTCCGTGACCGATTCTACAAAATGGAAATACATTTTCTTTTTTTAAATTAAGAACCAAGGTGTAGTTTTTCCATATTGAAAATTCGCTCTCACAACATCATCCACTAGTAAATATAAATGAATAAAGGTTTTTTTTTTTAATACAACTTTTACAATTTTGCCACAACTGAATAGACCACAAAGTTATTTCTAGATTCAATTTTTTTTTAAATATTTGAGTATTTTTAGTTGCTACGTTGCAAAATTGGCTCGTAGTCAAATCGTACAGTGTGCGATGGGCTTAACTCTCCATGCAGACCACTAGAAGTCAATGTGTTCCTATACAAGAATATTTAGCCTTCTTCTTCAGAATGTCATCATCAAGTTAGATATTTGAAAACAAAGAAATATTATTCCTACCTTCTGCTCCGACAGCCATTGCTGTAGCGCCACACTGAGGAACAGCTGAATAATAGTAACAAAGAAAAAAAAACATATACAAATTATTAGAACATAACAATAATATTGGATTCTTATATAGCGCACATATCGACCTTGCAAGGTCCTCAAGGCGCTCCAACATTACCCAGGTATGCTAGGCTGCCGATTTTGACGCTCACAGCATTTAAGGAATTCCTTCCTGCCGGTGCCCACTTAACATGGACATTAACAAGGACATTAGTACCGCGGCGGGACTCAAACCGCGGACCCTGTGATTCACAGTCCAACGACTTATTATTAATATTTGTTTGAAGGGTTTTGTGCCGACCAGAAAAATGATGTATCTTGTGCTTTGCACAAAAGCACGAGGATGGCAATTTAATTTTAAGACAATATCTTGTGGGTGGTGGAAAAGTTGAATTAGAACAATTTTGATGCAGATAAAATTGGTTTAGAGTCTCCAAATTGTCACATGACGTAAAGTCCCCCTTGCTTCTTGCTTAGATGGAGGTATTGGGAGGCTGCCAAGAACCACTGATCCCCAGGTCAACAATGTGGTTTTGCCAGTGATCGTTGCTGGAAGGGAGAAGAGAGATTGACAGATCGCCATAGTAACCCCCATAGTGACCACTGACCTCTAGGTCAATGGTAGTAACCCTAACGTGACTGCACCACTGACCTCAGGACTGCACTGAGTTGTCCACATGTGCGGACGAAGTGTCCCCCTAATAAAAATCCGCGCAGAAATTAGTCCTCATTAAGAAGCTGCATTCCGTTGCATGAGTATTCACTGATAATAAAAGTACATGTTAATATCAATTAAGATATAACAAGCTTCTGACACAAGACAGAAAATCGTTAAATAGTGCAGTGTAAAGAGAACTTTCTTGTTATTATCAATGCGCAGGTGAAGGGGGTGTTTCAAAACCCGAGTTTGAGGACTCATAATTTATGAATGGGGTTTTTCAAAAACCCGAGGACTGTCGCTTCGACTTGGAGAAAAAGACTAGGCCACTATAGACTGAGAAGAAGAAGAAGAAGAAGAAAAAGAAGAAGAAGAAGAAGAAGAAGAAACAGAAGATCGAAGAAGAAGAAGAAGAATTAAGAAGAAGAAATTACAGAAGATCGAAGAAGAAGAAGAAGAAGAAGAAACAGAAGATCGAAGAAGAAGAAGAAAAGCGGCCGCCAACCAGAGAGAGAGAGAGATAGAGAGAAGAGAGAAGAGAGAATTAAAATTTTGGAGAGAGGGGGAGAGAGAGAGAGAGAGAGACACGGACACCCGGGGAATGGATCGAGAGACAGACATAAATAAACATGAGGAGAGAGAGGTGGGAGAGACAGAGAACTAGGGAAGGGAGAGATAGATAGAAAGGAGAGGGGGAGAGAGACTGAAGGAGGCAGCCTGAAAGAAACAGAGTTGGAGAGAGAGAGAGAGAGACGGAAAGTAGCGCGAACTATGTTTGGAAAACAAGTTGATCTGTGGTTAGGCCTCCTCTGCAGCAAGCAAAGAAGGGGGTGTTTCAATACGCGACTTTATGGCCATTTACTCGGGTTTGCGAGCTACGAGGGTCAGACGTAATGAATGAAATGTGGAATTTGAAATCACTATATGTGTGGACAAATTAGAATTTAGTCATTTTTATTCACATTGGTTCATTCAATATTCTTTATTTAAATTATAACTTTGCAGAAGTGGAAATTTCAGGAAAAGCAAGGATTTCAGTAGCTGATAACAAAAACTGACATTTGTCACCAATGACAAGTTCTGTAAAACACCTCCCTGGAATGTGATGGGCTAATTTTGTAACAAATTTGAAGAAAACAAAATGAGAAAATGATGACTCACTTCTCTTGAGAAGTTCAAGATGGGTCCAGAAGAGATCTTCAGATTCTTTTTGAAACCGTTCACAGAATTCTTCTTTTGTGAGAGCGCACATCTCACTCCCCGTCATGACGATGTCTTTCACATGATCCAGAGCTTCGTTTGCAAACTCTCCTGAAGCCCAGATTAACCAGTGTAATGTGTGGTCCTCCGTCCACAGCTCAGGATCTGAATATAACATTTTAAAAAGTGGAAACAGAGTGATTAGATATACTCGCATCTGAGATGATGTCGGTAACAAAATAGCTTTGACTTGAGCTAGATCAAAATATGATAATAGTGATAATACTAATGGTGGCTTCTTATAAAGCATGCCATGACGCTCATTGTGCTCCAAGATTATTACCCAGTTCATAGCTGGTGGCCAAATATGTAGCGCTCTGTCATACCAGACACCCATTTACATCTGGGTGGAGAATGGAAAATGTCCATTGAAGTCTTCCCAAAGAACGTTGATGTCGGGCTAGGATTCAAACCCCAAATCCTAAATTGAGATTAAAGTGAGTGAACCATTATACCACGACACCTCCACAATAATGTAAACGCTGTTATTTTCACGCGATTAATTTTTCGCGCTGAGCGACCCCAAAACATATTACCTCGTTCTTAAATTCGCGTTGCACCAAATTCAGCCTGTTCAGAACACGCATAGGAACTCATGTTTATATTTTTCGCGGGTTCTATAATTCGCGGACACCAACTTTAGCGCAAAATCTGTGAAAATTTGTGAATATTTCTGCGTTTAGAGTACGTCTTGAGCTTACCATACGGGATGTTCAACCTGTCCTGCTCATCTCTGTAGTTACTGCATACGATCCAACGAGTGACCTGTTCTTCCTCTTCTTCCCCTATGGCGCCCTCCACCAGCTTCAAACTCTCATCCTCTATGTCTTCAACTGGAACTTTAAAAAGTTAAATGTTAAAGAACTTGAAATAATTCCTCAATCCAGACTCGCATCTACCAGAAATCGTTTTACAGTGGCTGCATCCAAAGAGTGGAATAAAATCCCTCTTTGATTCAGAGAAATAACTTGTCTTGCTACTTTAAAACATGTACATGTATTATACACAATGCAGGACTGTCACTTTACAGAAAAGTGAATAGTTTATTAGCGATAATTCAAAAACCATTGAGATGAAGATATGAAGTTTTATAAGCTTCGTTAAGAAATGTATGCCAAGTTTCAGAAATGTTTAGTCATTCCATGGCTGAGATTCTAAGGGGGAGGTGGAGTCCTTCTACCCTCCACAACTTACCTTTTTAGAGTTAAATGCCATTACAGCATATTTAAAATCATAAAAAGAATTTGACAAAATAAGAGTTTCTTCTTACCTTCTGTCACCATGGGTACCTCTAGAGTTTCAATGATTGGTTTCACAATGTCAACTATGTTCAGCCGGGGTTTCACACCTGAAATGGATAGAACAAATTTCAAGGATGAGGTGTTTTGGGGAGGAGGCGTGGTCTAGTGGAGAAATCATACGGTCACTCAAAAGTAATCACAATTTATGCGTCGCATCAAATGTGCACACTTTTATCATTGTACCCAGCTCTGGATGACTGTATATGAAAACCATAAGCCTTTCAATCAATGCTTCCAAAATCCTTGGCTTAAGTCTTAAATTTAGGGTTAGATAATTAGCCAGAAGCATCAACTGAATACTGAAGTTGGGTATAAAGTAATTTAGCTAAGTCGAAAGCTGAGTAATATACTACTATTTCTGACTATAGTATTGAATTGAATACTGGCCCAGATGCTGGGTTTAGCTTTTTTTCAGAACATGGTGTAAGAAAGGAAGTTAGATTTTCCTTTTGTGAAACAAATCTTAGACCCAGAGTTGAGTTTAACTGCATCAGTAGAAAACAGGAAGGTTCGTTCAGATATGAATCGTTAAACCTATGTAAAAATCACCAGAGTTTTATTTAAACATGGAAATTACTGCCAACTGCACGCAACAAAAATCCTGCGTGTTTTCACTGAGCTCTGTGTTATAGATACAGAAATGTAAAGGCGTATGGCACTTGCGTCACAAAAAAAGCTGCGGTTTTACTTCATCACATCTGAACGAGGCTTTAGTTTGGTAAAGTTCTACGCTACACTTAGAATCTTACCCTGATTGGAGATGACCTGGACACTGAACTGAACCACTCCTTCCGCAGAGATACCTTGCTCTAATAAACTCTTATCCTCAACCAACTAGGGAGATGAAACAAAAAAAGAATAACAAAATATAATGATTCAAAAAAATAACAATAATAATAATACAATGAAACCTGTCTATAAAGACAACCAAAGGGAGATAAGAAAAGTTGTCTCGTAGGCAGGGGTCTTTATGTACAGGTTCCTTTAATACATGCTTCAATTAGAAACCATTTTCAAAGCGCAAAAAATGTGGCCTTTGTAGACAGATGGTCTTCCTATACAGGTGGTCATTAAAGCAGGTTGACAGTAGAAGTAATAATGAAAATGATACAAATAATAATGATGATAATAATAATAATGGTAATATTGATAATAATAATAATGATAACAATAATTTTACTAAGAATGATAATAATAATGATAAAATAAATAACAATAATAATAATGTTCAATTTGTATAGCGCAAAATAACAACAATTTAATTCTTTATGTGCTTCAAACTTGAAGAACGTAAACCTGGTACAGGAAAAACATAAATGCAAGAGAAGAAAGGTCTTGAGGGCTTTCTTAAAAGTATCACAATAATATTATATTTCTTATTGTTATGGGTAGAGACTGAAATATTACGTCTCTTGGGTTTCCAGGCTTGTAGGCTGTAGCCCAAAAAACAGGTAGGGGTCTTGTAGATTTGGTTTCTCGATTGAAATTATTTGATTATAAGAATGAAACAAAATCAAGAATTTTTGAAAAAACTTATAATTTACGAGCAAGTTGCTCTTAAGTATACTTACAGTAGCAGTGTTTTGAAGGTAGATTTCATGTTCATCAAGCTTGCACTGTAGTCTTTGTCCAAGCATCTTCTTCAGAGTAGATAGAGGTTGAGCAATATCCATCATCTGAGTTATGACATTCTGAGAGGCTAAGCTGAATCATAAGAAATATAATGATTGTGGTATTACTAACGATAAGAATAATAATGATTTAATGAAAATGATACAAAAGTAAAAGTATAATATTAATAATTATAATAACAACAATAGTAATAATAATAATATTAATAATAATAATAATAATAATAATATTAATAACAATAATAATAATAATATTAATAATGATAATAACATTAAAAATAATAAAATTAACAATAATGATAATAATAATAATAAACAGTATTAATAATAATATATAGTATAGTAATTAATAACATTAAAAATAATAAAATTAACAATAATGATAATAATAATAATAAACAGTATTAATAATAATAATAAACAGTATTAATAATAATAATGAAAATAATGATAACAGTAATGACAATAATAATAATTATAATAATAACACAATGAAAACAACAAAAATAACAATAAAGATAATAATAATAATAGTACTAATGTACTAATTATAATACAAATAATAATAAATGCTTTCCATCTTACTTGATTGATTCCACCTTTGCTTTCTTGTTCTTGCCTTTGCCAGCTTCTGAATCACTCTCCATCTCTGCTCTCTTCATCCTGATCCTGGAAGCTCTAGACGATCATCAAATGAAACAAAGATAATTCCTTGATATCTAGATTAGAAAAAATGAAACAAACACTATTAAATTCAATTTGAACTTTATTTTACTTTGTATCAAAAGTACTAACCAAAATTATCAATTCAAAACAACACATTCACAAGCAATACAGTAACAGACATTAGAATTCAACATGCATGGATAAAATACTACAACAGTGGGTAGAAAAGAGAAGTGATTTTCAGGATTTCAGAGGCTTTTTGAAAATTGTGAAATCCTATACAGAAAAAAAAAAAAACTGTCTGCTTGACTTAAAAAAATAAGAGCAATCCGACCCTTGTAATACAGTACATGTAACTTATGGAGACAGACAGGCGGTGACAGTGACATTACTAATTCAGCCAATTCAAAGTGCCCATACGTGTAGCGATCACAACTTTTAAAAATTCATAACGTTCTTATGTTTTGTCAGATGTAATTCAAACTTTCCCATGTCTGCTTTTCTGATTGTTCAAATTCCTTTTTAGAACATGTACTGTAGGTGTCTGTTAAAGTTGGATTTCCCTTTAAGATATTTTGCCTTTTGACCCTTTCCAGACCATGATACAACATCAGGTCAGGCGCGTAGCCAGGGGGGGGCGGTGGGGGCGGTCGCCCCCCCCCCCCCAAAACGTCGGCCAAAAAAAAAAAAGAGAGAGAAAAAAAGAAGAAAGGAAGAGGACGTAGGAAGAAAAAGGATTAAGAGTCGAGAACGGTACAACGAATCGTCTCCTTTCTCTAATAATTTAATGAAACGTCTAAGCTTCCGCGCTTCGCGCGTGAGGGGAGGGGGGGGGGGGGAACTGATTTCAGATAAGGACTAAGAGTCGAGAACGGTACAACAAATCGTCTTCTTTCTCTAATAATTTATGAAACGTCAAAGCTTCCGCGGGAGGGGAGGGGGAAAACTGAATTTAGATAAGGATTAAGAGTCGAGAATGGTACAACGAATCGTCTTCTTTCTTTAATAATCTAATAAAACTTCAGAGCTTCCGCGCTACGCGCGGAGGCAGGGGAACTTGATTCAAACAAAAATTAAGAGTCGAGGACCGTGACGGTACAGCGAATCGTCTTCTTTCTCAAATGAAACGTCAACAGAATTTGAATTTAGATAAGGATTAAGAGTCGAGAATGGTCCAACGAATCGTCTTCATTCTCTTATAATTTGATGAAACCTCAAAGCTTTCGCGCTTCGCGCGGGAGGGAGGAAACTCCCCCCTCCCTGCACCCTCCCCCCCTGATTCGCACGCTTTGCATGCTCACTACCGCCCCCCCTAAAATGAAATCCTGGCTACGCGCTTGTACAACATGCCTCAAGAAATGATTTTTCAGTCACTCAGTCTAAAAGTCCTTACAATTTCTTGTAACTGTTATGTGCCAGAGATCAGAGGTAGATCTATTTTTTTTTTAAAGACATATTATTAATAGAACAGAGCATACAGCATTTTCTCTTTTACGGCACCTTCCAGGCCACTCTCTCTCTCTGAATTCTGAGATTATCTTGTGTCCCGTCTCACTCTCACTCTCACTCAGTGAGTCAGTCTCAATCTCATCATCCTGTCTGTTGACATTTGTTTTGAATTTGACTTGAGTCTTTCCTTTCAAAGTTTCTAGGAATCTTGATTCTTGCATAGAGGGTGATCCAGATTTTATTGTAGTTAATGCAGGAGATCAATTTTAGTTGAGTTAAAATGTCAATATCATAGTTTCAAAATTTGTGTTCCTTCTAAGAATCTAAAGACTAAACCAAAATGACAAGTGTCAGTCAATACAGTAGTCACAGTCAATACAGCAGTCACAGTACAGAAAAATAAACGAGTGGGTCTACATATTTTTATAACGACGCCCAGAACAAAGCAATTCGGACACATACGATGAACTTGAACCATACTGTGACTTAATTTGATTGATACTTACCGATACGAAGGGAAATAAACAGGAATCGAGTGTTTGGTATAAAGTTAGATGAAGTACCCGCTTAATATTTTCAAGTATTACGCTCGAAAAGGGCTTTAAAAACCCAGCTTCCGGTTCCGATGTCAGGGCATCAACTCCGAAATCCGCGTTCGCGATGATCGCGCAATCATGACGTCATGGTGTGGGGGGGGGGGGGGCGGGGGCAGTAGCTACGACTTTTTAGCTCGGGCACTTTACCCGAGCTCATAATATTATCATCGAAGTAAAAATATGAAAAGCTAAAAGATGAACAAAAAAAAGAGAAGTCTAGGTAGCTATAGGTCCCATACTCACAGGCCGCACCTCCCCCCGAAATTTCGCATTTTTCATTTCCAAATGTGAGTAATTAAATGTCAAGATCAAGACTGAACCAACATAAATATATAACAAAAGATCAAGACTGAACCATACGCGACACTATATAAGCGAGGATGCAGATGTTTCCTAATTTCCTTTCCCCCTTTGAGTGTTTGTTTTTGTTTTTTGAAGAGGAAGGGGGGCTCTAATTGTTTTTGCTCCCTCTACAATACCACAACATGGCTTCTTTCCGTGGAAATGTGGCTCGCGGCGTGCAATGATCTACTTGTTTGTTCGAAGTAATAAATTGCCCCCCCCCCCCTTTTCAAGACAAAGACAAGCTAGCGAGAATAACTTCATGAAAATAATTTGAAGTATTATGAGTATATGCCTATAATAGCTTCAATATTATTGTATGTCTCTCGTAGTATGTTGAATACATCTAGTCATCTCATTGGTCGAAATTGTTCGTGATTTTTAGCCATGTCCGCCTACCGGTCAATAGTCTTTTTTAAACATGCCCGTTGCCCCGGGTAACGGGCTGCATGAATAAATTTCTGAGATCCCCATTGCCGTTTACGGGGTCATAGCAGGATGTGGGTCTACTGTCCCATTGAGCCTATAGAAACAGCTATGCCTCTCATAGCAGTGAATATATTTATATTATTAATGCCCTAAAATGCAGTTTAATCTTTCCAAAATCTATATTCTCGCCCCCCCCCCCCCCCCAACAAAAAGTTCGCTATATACACTCCCTCGTATTTTAGTTGATAGAATGTTTCTTATCATTACTTTGCAAATTTGCAGGGAACATTCTCGCTCCTTGAGGGAGCATGCATTTTAGCTGCCTTTCCGGGGCTCGAACCCTATTAGTTTCCAGGCAAGAGATTTAACCACCGGACTACGATACGCGACACACTCTACAAATAATTCGTTTTAGAAAAGACCACGACGAGAACACATTGTGGGTGGGCCCGGTGGGGTGAGGGTTGGAGGATTCTATCACGTTCAAGGGCGTCAATCCCGGAGGGACAAGGGAACACGTCCCCCCCCCCCCCATGATTTTTCATAGGGGGACGCCCCCCCCCCCGGCTTATTCACTGGCTGGCTGATTCACCGCTAAATATTTCCTGACGCGAATTGGGCAAAACAAAAAAAGTTATTGTGTCCCTCCCATGCTCAAGCTCGGCCCGCCCTTGATCATGATTTCAAATTCCCTTTTCTCGTCCCGTTCATTCCACCCTCTTCCTCTCTCTTTCATTTTCTTTGAAATCCTCTTCACCCCCTTGCGAAGGAGAGGGGGTATAGCATTTTCTTTAAAATTAACTGAAATAGATAAAGCAGTATTTTTAATTTTTACTGAAGATATGATGTGGGATTAAACGTTGCCCCTTTTTCTTTTTTCTTCTTCTTCGCATTATTCTACTTTTTTTTTAATTCTTCCTCCTACACTTCTCTTTTTGTTGTTTAATTCTTCTTCTTTTCCTTCTTCTTGTTTTCAATTTTTTATTTCCTTCTTTTCTTTTCACAATCATTTCTTTCACCTTTTTGTAGGCCTCAAAAAGACTTGAAATTTGTATAAAAGATAAGGCGTGCTAGAGCCTAAAAATTCCGCAACTCGATCATTGGCATCGTAGGCTATCGAAGATATTGATAATTGTATAAGGGTATTGGTATTGGCTTTGGTATGATTAGTTTTGGTATTGGAATTGGAATTGGAATTGGCGTGGTTGTTATTTGTATTGGTCGTATAGGCTTATTGCTATAGAGTCAGGTGCGTACGCAGGGGGGGGGGGCCGGGGGAGGGGTGAAACCCCCCCCCCCCTTGAGTCTTTTTTATGTGTATGTTTTGTATATGTTTTATTGGAACCCCCACCCCCAACGGAACAAAATGTCAAATTCTCAATTTCGAGACCAAAAAAAAAGTGTCCTCTTACCTCAATACATCAAATATTCTCAGACTATCAATTTTTATTATGATCATTTTTTTTTTTTAATATCAATAGCATTATTATGATCATCATAATCATCGTACAAAATTTACAGGTTTTTAGATATCAACATTACTATTACTGTTATTGTTTGTTATCATTATTATTATCATTATACTAATAATGGTTATTCTTATAATTAGCATAAGTATTATTATCATCATTCATGACTATTATTGTTTTCCACCGGCCATTAAAAAAAAATTAAAGTAGTTCTCAGGCACTCTCTCAGAGTTCAGTTCCTGTAATTATAGGCCCAAACTCCCGGGCCCAAACTTTGGTCTTTCTTCCTCAAATTCTCCATATCTATTTAATGTTCTGTTCGTTATAGCTAGCCAGTGTAAAGTTTCCCTCTTTTTTTCTTGATAACATTTTTATGAGCGAAAATGGAAATCCAAATTTTGATCAAGACTTTGAAAATACCGCGGATCTAGCGCCATCTTATGACGTCAATGCAAATTAGATTGGGGCTGTGTCCGCTGACGCGTACGTACGTGTCCGTATTTTTCAGGTAACTATTTCTCATAATTTTCCTTTTTAGAGAAATAATTCAACAATTTAGTATCACTATCGTAGACTCACATGAAATGCGGTTTGATTGAGTGTATTTTCATGTCGAATTGGCTATTTTCTAAAGGTTAAATCTTGGTGTTATTTAGACGTGCTCGTCGATGTGTTATGCCAGTGTAGGGTCGTACAGCACACACGAATGCTCGGAAGTGCCATATGTTTTGTACAGGGCGTGCGCCATGATTATCGGCATTTTTCTGGCGTGCCCCCGCCCCGCGGGTGAGGCACGGTTGTACACTATATTACATAGCTGCACGTAAAGCCTATGTACCTTATGCATTGAGTGTGCGAGGAATGTGTGTTGTGTATGCGAGAGTTTGCGTAGCTAGCTGTGCTGTGATACATGTATTGAAACTGAACGGACCGTGGGAAACGGTCATTTGTAAACAAGTATGGCTGTATGCAGGAGCAGATGTAAGCCAGCTCTGTTCAGTAGGGCAGGGAGGCATTATCAAAGTTATTGACAAGTGTCAACTATATCTACATGGAATAATATATCCAGAGTAGACTACTAACTAACCCTACCCACTTGAGTTGAAGTTGAAGTTTGAACATGTTTCTTCAGAATAATGCCAGGGCCCAGGCAATGGATCAACCCTTATTTTGGAATTTGGATGTTGGAATTTTCTCACTTTTGACTTGAGAATTTGAGTTGTTGACAAATGAGGTAGATTCTACACCCCATAATAAGTTTGTCTTTTATGATTATTTTGTTAATAATTATTTTGATTTTGTTATTTGGGAGAGGGGGGGGGGGGTACACAAGGATTTTTTAATTATTTTTTGTATAAATCTCCATTTCGAAATAAAAAATATTTTGACAGTGAATTTACCACCACCCAGGTGTGCCGGAAGCAGTTTGGGATTGGGGGGGGGGGGCAAACATTCCAGGGGGCTAATCTTCCAGGGGCAGTGACGTAACGAGCAAAAACGTTGGGAAGTGGGGGGGGGGGGAGAAGAAAAATCTGCATCACCACCACTCTTACACGTTACATGCAAGCCCCGCGGAACGTTTTGTAAAATGGATTATTAACGATCAGGTAGATTGTAAATTGGTGTGGGGTCCAGGGCATGAGCCCCGCTAGGGGGTCAAGGGGCTGAGCCCCCAGACGCTCAGGGGTTTTAGGCATTAAAATTATGGTCAGATAAGCATATTTAGATACCTTATTTGTGACACTGGCAGGCCACTAATAAGAGGGGAGTGCAGGGAGCAGGGCCCCAGGAAGCTCGGGTTTTTTAGTTATTTAATATCAGTCAGATGAGCATACAGGAGACCGCCTTAGGACCCTTGGTGGGGTCCAGGGGGCAGAGCCCCCTGAAGCTCGGGGGTTTTAGGTATGTAATAACGGTCAGATGAGCATACAGGGAACCACCTTAGGGTCCTTGGTTGGGACCGGGGGCAGAGCCCCCGTAAGCTCTGGGATTTTAGGAATTTGATTACGGTCAGATGAGCATCCAGGGCCCCGCCTTAGGGCCATTGGTGGGGTCCAGGGGGCAGAGCCCCCAGAAGCTTGAGGGTTTATGTATTTAATTACGGTCAGATGGGTTATAAAGGGCCCTTGGTGGGTCACTTATTTTTTCTCTGTAACAAACTTTTTTAAAAAGTGAAGGGGGGCTCGAGCCCCTGAGCCCGGCCGTTCTGCAGACCGTGACACAAAGGCTTGTAAATAAGTATATTTTTCGCCCAACTGTAAATTTGGGAATTTCTAATTTTCAAACAAATTTAATGCATAAAAAGGTATGATAACAAAAAATTGAGAAAAAATATCGGAAAATCATGTCATTTCAGCAACATTTGTAAATCACTGGTATCAAATAAAAAACACCCCCCCCCCCCATCAGTACGCCAGCGTTCAGGAGCTCATGAGATTCTCACTCCTATAGGGCAGGTCCAAGCTATTTGCTTTGTGACGTACGGGACATTCAGAGACTTTAAACAAGAAATAACAATGGATGACATTATTTATATGACTATCTTTTGGTATGAGTCTGTGGCTATTATGGGCTAGTTCATTTGTGGAAAGTTTTAGTTCTGACCAATTCATAAATTAATTTTTAATGTAATTAATGTGCTGCGTGACGTACGGGACCAGAGAATTTCTGACTTTTTCAAAAAAAGTTCGTCATAAAAGTTCTCTGAATTTAGTAAGTTATGAGATTTATGGTAATGATATCTTAATTCATTATGGAATCAAGCATTAATCACAACTATTACCATATTTTTCTGACCTTTCGTTATTATGTAATATACCAAAACATAAATGACTGCATGTGACGTACGGGACACGTGACGTACGGGACAACTTTTCCCTATGGGAAAATGCATTGAAATGAAGAATTTTCGTCAAAATTTGTTAAATGTGAACAATTTCAACTTCAATCAGTGACAATTAGAGTGTTTTAGAACCCAATTAGATCCTCTGACCATCACTTAATATCATCTGTGTTAATCTATGAGGTAAATCAATACAAATATTACTTTAACAAAGAAAACAAATTGAATTAATATTCATACACACTATATTACCATTTTTATTCCATTTACCCATCTATCATGTGCAGTCATGCTTCTTTTCTCATTTCTTTTATCCATTCCATTCAACATTGCAAAATGTTTTCTAATAATAATTAATGAAGAAGATGAACTTGAACTTGAAAACTTTACATGTAATTTAAACTTGTTTGAAACACAGGGGCACACTCGGCACATCATATTTTGTCAAAGAACATTTCTTATGCTTTAAGTGTTTGTGAACAAAGATACATGTACATAAAAAAAAAAGGTCTTTTCTTCTTAGCTTGTTTGAATTACTTGATAGTAATATCATAGAATTTTGAAGGAATTCAAAGATAATGCTGGACATATTGTCTTTTTTTTTATTATATCCTGTTATCACAGATTAGAACCATGTATATGTTGCTGTCATATATTCAAGAATTTTGATGTACATTAATGTAGCCTACATGTTTGTGAAAGATGGATACAAAAATATCAATCTTGAATGTATTTCGTATTAATTAAAACATCTTATTAACACCACTAGATATAAGAAATTAAAACCCTAGAGGTTTGTGTGACCTTTTCCACAATTCAAAAGATTAATTTAAAGCAAAATCAACAAAAATGCATGGGTGTAAAAGTGATAAAAATCTTAAGTGGGTAAGAGTGTGAAATACTCAAAAAGGCTATCCTTCCTTAAAAGTTATAATTTAGTTTTTAGGAGATCATAATTCCCGAGCTAGCTCCATAACATGTACAGTGTATGCTGTAATCCTTTACCATCATATATGACACTTAAATAGAATATCAAAAAACCTCACATGGAGAGCTTGATAGCATACATGTGCTATTCTTACCTGCAGCATCTATGAGTTGTAAAAGCCAGCTTCTGGTGCATCCACTACCATATAATTTCATTAGACTCATTCCAGGAACTAGTACACTATTATGATTTACATATTTAGCATCCTGCCAATGTTGAGGACATCAACTGGCAAAATACCATAGTTGATAATACCAACAATTACATAAAACAACAACAAAAGTACAAACAAGTAAATTCCTAGAAGGGACCCAGTTGGAATGTTCATATATCCCTGTATACAACAAGTTTCCTAACACAGTATATATTCTCCTTTTGGTCATTTCCTTTTTCACATCTCGCATTGGTTTTATACAGGGTTGTCCCGTACGTCACACACTTGTCCCGTACGTCACATTTCTTAATTTGATTATGTAATCAACACAGTATTTTTGAAATTTTTGTTAAACCTATTTTTTGTTAGGTATTCATCTAAATTAGAACTTCCTAGAATATCTTTAAAAAAAAAAATTATTTTCATAATTAAAATTAAACAAATTATGATCAAATTGTGACGTACGGGACATCACACTTTGGAACCTACCTCATTTGCATAATTAATTAATTTTGAAAGTTTTTATATTTTTTTCCTATTTTCTAGCATGACGGTCTTTATGTCCTGAGATATTTAATTTTAAACAAATAATTCAAATGAGATACAAAAATAAAAATGTAATGTCCCGTACGTCACGCTAATTAATACAAATCGAAGTCCGTGACCTTGGCACTCTTCGTATTTTGAAAACTTTAATTTTTTTTTATCAGATTCATAAAATTCATAGTTTCAGCTTTAAAATGAGGTATAATTTGTTAAATATATATAAAGATGAAATTTGACCCCCAGAGGGGACAATAGCTTGGACCTGCCCTATAACAAACAACAGACACGCTTTCCCATTCTCTCACAATATGTCCACGATATGCGCGTATCGCTATTATAAAAACCTCCAATGCTAAATATAGGTAGCATGCGCAATGTTTAGGAAATTTAATTCCAGTTAACTTTCCTTTTCTTTGAATGGAAATTTATATGTCATTTAATTCAGGTTGTTATTATTATTATGTTCTTTTGGGTTAAAATACAAACCATCTTTACTCCTTTACACTGCTTTTTTTTTTTTGAGGGGGGTGTTTTTTTGGGGGGAGGGGGCAAACATGCGTTTCCCCCCCCCCACTTCCGGCGCCTATGCCACCATCATCAGTAGGTACGCCGGTCCGAGAATGAGGATCGTCCGCATAAATGAGGAAAACGCGGACAAAATGCGTCCTAAAAATTAAGGATTGTCCGCATTTTCACAAACATTTTTTTTCTTTGCCTTTGGCACTCTGCAGGTTTCGGGTTCCAATTTATTTTTTTTCCCGATTTTTCCCTATTTTTTCCCAATTTTTCTTACTCAAAAGGGGAGGAATGTTGTTAGATGCCATTTTCCCCCCCGAATTGTCAGATGCCATTTTTTCCCCCGAATTGTCTTCTTTTTTTTTTTTTTACTCAAGGTGGGCGTGGTTTTTAGTGCTCACTGTCACTCCTGCCAAATACTCTTTTTTTTCCCAGCCAAATTTGGCTTGTTTTACCATGTGCCACGATTTGAGAGTTTATGTATTGCCTGCTTTGAATGGCTGCATGATCAAGCAGCGAATTTGTATTCGTTTTTTGGTTCAGATTTACCACGTATTGCCAGTTACACCTATCGAGCCCTGTCCAAACATCTGTAATTAACCCTTTTTTCTTTTTTTTCTTTTTTAATGCCAAAAGTTTTCAAGTTTTGGGCTATCAAATGCTTAAAAAAACATGTATAGCTGGGATTATTTTGTCATTTGAAATTTGATAATATTAGTCTAAGAATAGAGGAAAACATGCGAGCCGACATCTCGGATTTTAGTGACAATGGACAAAAAATGTGCAAACATAATAATCCAAGACTGCGGCTCGCATGTTTTGCCTCTTCAGAGAGTGGACATGTCACCAGACTGCGGATCACAAGGTCTGCGGTTTGAGTCCTGCCACGGTACTAATGTCCTTTGGCAAGTAATTAATCTACGTTTGCCACACTCGACCCAGGTGAGGTACATGTAAATGGGTACCTGGTAGGATTATTCCTTGAAATGCACTGTGCGCTAAAGCTAGGGTAATGTTTCTAATGGAAGTTGAGGATTCACAGATTTTCATCTGACAGGGAACGTGACGCTACCCCTTTCTTTCAGTGTGGAGCACTGGACGGGACTTATGTAATGACCCGATAAGAAGAAGACTTATAATGTGATATCGCTATATAAGAAGGGAATATTATTATTATTATCGTCTTTGTGAATCACTTTTAATCCAGGACATTTGTTGTACACCGGACATGGAAACAGATGTCAATCAGAACCAACCAAGCTCATCTACTATGGCAGACATTGTAAACGTATCGACTGGAGAATCGGTTGACAAGCAGTTACAGAGCAGCGATATTCCTGCTGGAACTACCATCACTGTGGTAGATGCGTCACAGACGTCCGATCTTGGAGGTATGGCATTCATGAAACTAGGCCTTAAAAAAAGATGTTGTATTGCCCTTTGCAACCGATCAAAAAATTGTGAAATCTATGGTGGGATTTTTTTAAAAGGTTTTTTTTTTACCATTTTTTGGAGAGAAAACAAAATATTTAAGCATTCAAAACTGAGAAACATCAGCCCAAAGAGGGAGGAAAAAAAAGGTCTGATCGACCGACCGACCCATGTTTTGGCGTCTTAAGGGCAATACAACATTTTTTTTTTAGTCTGTAGTCCTTGCAAGAGTTCTGTCCCCCAAAAGGTACCCATTACCCCGCCTAGGTTGAGTATTGTGAATGTTGATTAATGTCTTGCCAAAGGACAATGAGTATTACAAAACAATTTTTTGTTTGGGATCCTCCTTATAATGGCCACAATGCACCGAGAATCAAAATCAATAATCCATTGCAAATTTGTAGGTAAATCTGTTTTTGGTTTGGTTTGGTTTAATTCATGACACATGTGAGCAATTTTTTTTCTTCTTCAGACACTAATCTTTTGAAAGTTTGTTCCATGATATTGTGTTGGATGTATTCTTTGTTTTTATTTTTATTTTTTTGTATCTTCATATATTTCTTTGCTGTTATAATAGAGTTAGGATTAGGATAGATGATGAATATGGTGCAGAATATGTCATCCCCAAAACTAATGAAGAAAACAAAAATCCCACAGAATTGGTAGGTGGACCCCCCCCCCCTCTTTCGTGCAAGTATCAAGGATTAAAAGGAAAATGGAGTACATCATAGAGGTGATAATCACATATCAATGTTCAAAGTTAATAGGATCAATCTATTTTTACGAGGCAGGAAATTGGTAATGAGAGAAACAGTGAGAGAGAGTGAGAGAGAGAGAAACAGTGAGAGAGAGAGAGAGAGAGAGAGAAAACCACAAACTTTGCCAAGTGAATAAATTATGACATTGACAAAGACAGGAAGTTCGTGTTTTATAGACAACGAGACAACAAGAACTTTAGGCCGACATATAGTGCTTCGGTACAATTGAAACTAATACTAAAATTTAAACATGTTCCTGTTGAATTTCATACATGAAATCTCTCAAGTATTCCAGGAAAAGGAAATGTCTATTTTGATGGTAAAGCAGCACTTCCTCATTTATACTCTAAATCATGTACAGTTAGCAACTGAATTATTCATACTCCTTGTAAATTTCATGTTTTTTTTTGTAAACTAACAAACAAAAGGTGGATTGGTGAATTATGGCCTTTGTTGAAACTTTTAGATGTAATATTTACTATGTTACATAAATCAATACAAGTCAATTTTTCACATGCTTAAAACATTATAAAACTTGGTAAGGGTGCAACTGCATGTGTGAATTTATAATTTAGTTGTTAATTGTACTTTTTTTTTTATCTGGAGCTTGTTTTATATATATCTATTTTTCTAAAATAGAGATTTATCTTTCATATTTGAATATCTTACAGAGCTTTCCAGAGTGAAATAGCTTGCAGCTTTCATGTAATCCTTCATTTACAGTCAGTCTGATTATATAAAAAAAATTATCAATGGCTTCTTTGTTTGTCATGTACATGTACATGTAAAACTACTGTTGGATCTATTCCAAGTTTGGTAATGTATCCTCCCAGATAAAACGTCTTTGCCAAGGATAGAAATATGTTGTTTATGCTCAATATTATTATTATTTTTTATTTATTTATTTATTTATTTATTTATTTATTTATTTATTTATTTATTTATTTATTTATTTTATTTATTTATATTATTATTATTATTATTTTATTTTTATTTTTTTTTGGGGGGGGGGATTTTTTAAAATAAGGGTTAGGCTTATCAAAAACCTGTTTAATGCGTAGTATGCATACAATAAAAACCACCAGACTGTTCAAACAAATTTTGAAGTTAATTTCTGAAGAAGAAAAAAAGACAATTTTTTTTTCTTTAAAAGGCAAGGTCCACTCCAAAAAAAACTTACTCTCAATAAAAGCAGAAAAATCAGACAACCAATCAAAAGAAGTTTGAGTAACATCCGATTACTAATAAGGAAGTTATACATTTTTGAAAAAGTATAGAACAATGGAAATCACTACACAATTTGCCAATTTGCTTATCAGCTTGTGACGTCATTGCCTCACTATTTATCAATTGCTTTATATATCTTGTTCCTATCAACTTCCCTTTTTATCCCCAAAACTTGATTTCCCCATGCCTTTGCCCAGGTTATATATGATTTGTATCATAATGCGTGCATGACATTTTACAAAATCTTTTATAAACTTTAAAGAATCAATACTTTTTTCTGGATATTGCATATCAATAAGTAATGATTTTCATATAAATAGTTTATGAAAATTCACGATTTAACTGATTTAACTGATTTTTTTTTTCTATATTAATTAGTGTATCCACACAAAAACATATTACTATCAATATAACTTAAATGTAGATGCAGACCTGCCAACCAGTACGATTTAGAAGCAAATACGACAGTACGATTTTCCTCAATGAAATACGATTTTCAAAAAAAAAAAAAAAACGATTTTTTTTTTTTTTTTTTTTTTTTTTTTTTCTTTTTTTTTCTTCCTTTTTCTTCCTTTTTTTTCCTTTTTTTTTTTTTTTGTGTGTGTGTGCCATTTTCAATGGCAAAATGCCCATTCTGTCCTCTAAAGCATCTCATATCGGGAAATTTGGGGATGTTCATTGGTTCATCGAACACACCAGTCATGACGAAATCATGTATATTCTACCAACGATCCATAACAAAATTCCTCCTGTATGTAGGAACTGTAAGAGGCATTGATCCGCGTAACAGTCCGTGTTTATTTTTAAGAATACAACTTTTGTCAGTAAAATACAACTTTTGGGATTAAAGAATACAGTTTTTGAACTGGTTGGCAGGTCTGTAGATGCTGGTATGAGGAAATAACCTTAATTAATAGGGAGAAAATGGGAAATTGATATTATCAATGTAAAGAAAACAGTTGGTGGATAGTGAGGCAATGGTGTTACAGACTCATGAGTGAGTTGCCAATTTGTCTAGTGATTTGCAAAGTTTTTCATGCCATTAAAAATCAATAACTTTTTTTATTAGTAATCCGACTTTGGTCAAACTTTTTTTGATTGGTTTGTCTAATTTTTTGCTTCTATTAAACGTAAGTTATTTTTGGAGTGTACTTGCCCTTTAAGTGTTGTTATCCTTTGCTTGTTTCTATCTTGGCAGGTCTGTTGCAGGCATCCGAGATGATGGAGATCATTACACAGGAGGTGACTACGCTAGCCCAAGCTAACGGAGCGGTAGGAGAAGCTATTACCACTGTAGCACCTATCATGTCACAGAATGGGGGTAAGATCTCGCCCTTCTTGCTAGGGCTTAATTCAAATCATCGGGGGATCATATCATTTTCTTCTATCCTCTTCTCTCATCTCCTTTCTTCTTATCTCCTTTCTTCTTATCTCCTTTCTCTCCTCTCATCTCCTTTCTTCTTATCTTCTCTTCCTTCCTCTTCTATTCTCTTCTCTTTTTTGGTTATCTTCCCTTATCTCATCTCCTTTCCTCTCTTTTATTCTTTTCTTCTTTCTTCTTGTGGATTAATATTTGAAAGAAAAAAAAAGCTTCTGAGTTAATTGATATATTTGTTTAATAACATTGTTCCTCTAGTTGTCCTGCAAGCTTCCGAGCTGATGAAGCAGATCATGGAACAAGTGAATATCAAGCAAGAAGACTTTCCTTTTCTTTTCTATTCTATTCTTTTCATCTCCTTTCTTCTCTTCTCTTCTCTCCTCTCCCTTCTCTCTTCCCTCTTCTTTTCACTTTTTCCTGAAGAATATATTGTTCCTTTAGGTGTCCTCCAAGCCTCTGTGTCAATTAATATTTGTTATTCCATTATTCTTTCAGTTGTCCTGCAAGCTTCCGAGCTGATGAAGCAGATCATGGAACAAGTGAATATCAAGCAAGAAGACGGGGAGGATGCTCCACAGACGGTCTACGCTGAAATCAGACCACCAGATCGTGAGTACTATTACTACTACACTGTACTACTACTACTACTACTTAGTACTACAATTTTATTGATAAAAAGTAATAATAGTAATAGTGACAATGATAACGATAAATAGTATTCATCATGATGAAGATAATAATAATAACATCAGCAATAACAACAACAGTTATATACTTGTAGTTGATAATTATTTTTCAACATTTGTCAAGGTGGTATTTTTAAAGATTATCTCTTTTCGAGCTTTACTCTGACGACCAAGAAAGACCAAGAAATACCAAGAAATACCAAGAAATCTTTAAAATATCAATTGAGTTATTTGTGTTATTGTTGTCTTCAATGTGATATATATCTGTAAAGCGCCTTGAGAGGGCCCGGCAGTCCCGAAATGGGCTGTAAAAGAACAAACTATTATTATTATGTATTGTAGATAGAGTCCTTTGATTGATCAAACTTATTTTTCTTACCAAACGTAGAAATGATGATTGAAGATCCTACCTCTGGACAAGACAAGCAAGGAGGAGGTAGGTATAAGAGAGAAGGAATGGAATCATCCAACATGTGGATAGACCAGGGGGGTATTTCACAGAGACTAACATCGACTTTAAGTTGGACTTAACTATGGCAGGCCGTTCATGCCACTAGTGTCTCTCACCATTGGTCTCTCAATTATGATCTTTAGATTATATTTTTTCTTCAATATTGAATTATCAAAAAAATGTAAATTCTGTAGATTTGTGACCACGATTTGTAAGTCCCTTGAGAGACCGATGTCAGTAGATGGTGAGAGCAAACAGTGGCATGAACGGCCTGCCATAGTTAAGTCCAACTTAAAATTGATCTTGGTCTTTGTGAAACACTCACCAGTTTCGTAATGTAACAGAATTTATTTGTCTTTGTGCTGTGCCTCTATACTGATTATTTCATTCACCTGTTACAATTAAATGTATCTCAATAGTCAGCATGCAAATTGCGTATATATTAGTTGTTGCTAGGTAGGACAAACATTATGGACCAAAATTCACAAAGCAGGTTTGTCGACAAACCTAGGTTTATGTACGTCAAATGAAGCATTTTGACATGTTTTTTACAAACTGACCCCCCCCCCCCCCCCCCCCCCCCAGTAAAAACCTGGTCTGAAGTAGCCCAGTTAAAATAGGGTTAAACCACTTCACAAAGATGTGTGCAATAGGTTTGGTTACATTACGAAAATGGCCTATTCACGTGAGGAGGTTCTATCAGTACAATGGTTTCCAAGCAGAACATATGAATGGAATTTGATCTCCAAAGGTTCTTGAATGTTTGAATACAGGAGTAATCTATCTATCTCCCATATCTTGGAAGCTGATGGGGTGACAACTAAGTGGACCATTAGACACGGGTTCTCCATAACTTTCTGTCTTTCAGATAAAAAAAATACATTGAGGCTCGGGCAAATTAGCCCCTGAAATGCCCAAAAGAGCCCCCGAAAGTCTTAAAAGAGCCCTCAAAAATTTGCATAGAGTTCAATGCAAAATAAATTAAAGAGTGTACTTTCCATGTAAGCAAGCTTGAAAAGTAGCCCCCCCAATTGTTTTACTATTTTTTTCCCTGCTGTCTTCAACTGTTCTAGTTATCTGCTCAAATGAAAATAATAAGCGGTGTGTTATTCATATTGTTGTATTGTATTCATTTTAGGATGATTGGGTATTTATTTAGTTTCTGAGACGATAATGCATTTATCATGTATTTGATTTATTCTAGGATTGGTGAACACGTATGCCATGTATGACGAGGAGGAGGAGAGCGATTCTCATGAGATGGTTCATCAGCAGTCTGATAACATGGGTGGTTCCACCAAGGTACTGCATGTACAGGCTACACAAGAACCAGTAGAAGGAGATCCAAATAGTGTGGAGGCTTCAAGGTAGACATATATACATTTCTATCTCTCTCTATGTCTCTCTCTCTCTCTCTCTATCTCTCTTTGCAGGGCTTAAATTAATCCAAGGCCATGGCCGTGGATGCACCTTTGATTGGCCTCAATGCCCCTCTCATTGACCTTGGAGATTGTGTGTGCCCTTTCCAATTCTTCCTATTTGTGCTGTAATATAGGAATGTGTCCTACAGAAAAGTGGCCTTGCCCTAAAAATGTCTTTGTCAATACCTCTTCATGTCTATCTCTCTCTCTCTATCTCTCTTTCTGTCTATCTCTCTATCGCTCTGTATCTCTCTCACTCTCTCTCTGTCTATAGCTCTCTCTCCACCTCTCTCTCCACCTCTCTCTCTCTATCTCCATCTGCTGTTCACAACTAAATTATTCATGACCCTTTAAAATTTGATGTTTTTTTTCTTCTCGTAACTGAACATGAAAGGTGAACTGGTTTCCTACATGTTTCCTCTCTCTTTCTGTCTGTATCAAAAGAAAAAGAAAAAAAGTAGAATACATCACAATACATTAATATTCTAAATATATAGTAAGAACAAAGTAGAATGTGATGAAATTTTACCTTAACTAATAACATAATTTACCTTCTATTAGGACGTTGACGGTTGTGATCACCAACTTTCCTGACCATCTCAAGACCCAGATCCTCTCCTACAGCTGTATGTCATGCGGGAGTGCATTCAACGAGGTCGTTGACCTCATGTCTCATGTCTGTACTGGTACTGCTCCTCTCATTGCCAATGCCAGCAGTGTGGTAATCAATACAGGTGCGTTTGTTGGTTTAGTTTTATTGTTTATTTCACATTCCATTGTTGTGTTTGTTATTGTGGTTATTATGTAAGGTCACCTTGCATCCTTTCCTATTCCTTCCCCCTCCCCCATCTCTTGTCACCACCTAATCCATCAAATCTCCACTCCCAATTTTTGTTTCCCTTGAAAATGGCTTCTACTTGAAACTTGTACAAAAGAAACCTCTACATAAAAACCACCTGCCTATTAAAAACACTTACCTTGTCTCCACTGGATAGTCTTTATAGACAATTTTCACTGTAATCCTACTTACAAAGTGCCTTTTACAATGTTTTTTATGATTTTTCTTTCTTGTTCACAGGCATGGGAACCAATACGGACATTGACCCCAACAAGACAGTCATCAGCACTGCTGATCTCTACTATAGATGCGACGAATGTCCCAAGAAATTTGTGAAGAAGCATGAACTCGTCAGACATAAAAACGCCCATAAAAAGGGAGAGAGTGCGAGGGTAGGTAGAATTACGGTCTCAAATCTAAGTCCAGGGCCTCATTTCACAAACTTACCAATGGTGATACCTTTGCCATTAATGGTGACTTCCATGGAAACCTTGATTTGATTGGCTGTTGAATGATGTTGCCGTGGTAGTTAATATCGATGGCAAAGTTTACCAGCAGTGGAAACTTGTTTGCAACAGGGCCCAGGGCCCGTATTAAATTCTAAACTTCAGTTTGAAAGATGAGTATTTTACTTGGTCTTCAGCTGAGATAAAATACTTAGCCAATTTTGGTATTCAATTCCAACTTTTGGCTCAGTATTTAACCCTAAATTTAAGACAGCTATCTACCAAACTTGCTGTAAAACTGTCCAGATACATGATTAATATTATATCCAAATTCAAAGTCCATTGCTTTTATAACAGAAAAGTTATAGTGCTCTAAAGTCGACACTTTGATAGAAACCAAAATGAGATCTTGATCCAGGTGATAGTCATGACTTTGCAGTCTGAATCATGAAGACAATGGATGGTGGGGTTCAGAATTTGCACCCCCCCCCCCTTCCCCCCACCGATAATCAGGAAATCACAGAATAATTTAAGACTTAGACAATCTAGGCATTAATGATTAAAGGGACTTGGTAACATTGTTCAGATGAGAGATAGTGGTGCTAAGGTAGTGACTTCAATGGTAGATGTACAATTTAAGATAATTTGAAAATTTGAGTGAAAATGGACCATTATTCATGGTACAAATTGAGAAAAATGATCTGATCGATTCCTTAATTCTCCCAACTATATTATTGCAATTTAATTACATTTTAGGTGAATGGAAATCTCATAAAGCAATAAAATGGCTCTACATTCCATTCCAGACATTTAAGTGTTGACAGATTTTTTTATAGCCTGTTTTATGTTTTTTTTCATGGAAAAACGGTTGGGAAAATTAAAAAATGGTTGGGAGAATTTACTGTTAATCACTGTTAGAGGGTGTCGTACATCGACACCTTCAAAGAAAACCATAGATATCTTCGTGGTTTGAGAATTTGTTCAGGATTTGTTGCATGTCAGAGGGTTAGTACAGTAGAAGGAATATAGTAAGTAACATTCTATACCAAAATTAAGCAATTTTTTCATCAACCTTCAACAATGTTACCAAGTCACTTTAACACTGATTTTTCAAAATTCTATTGTACCATCTTTGGCATCATCTTCTATTGATATAGGGGAGGGAGGAGGACTGGGATGTCACACGGAGCGAAGTGGGTCCAGGTTATGAATCCCATTACCAAGTATGTACATTCAACTGTTTCACGTTATAAATCCTGTCTATTATTTCAATCTAAGTCTTTCATTATTCGGTTGTGTCCTTATTATCGGTGGGGGAGGGGTCACAGAAGAGGAGGCAGATGCAAATTCTGAACCCCACCATCCATTGTCTTCATGATTCAGACTGAAAATCATGACTATCACCTGGATCCAGATCTCATTTTATGTTTCACTTGACAAATAGCCTGCATTATTTCTGAACAGACATAATGTCCTACACAACATACTGCCCCCATTTAAAAATTACTCTTGATTTTAATGAAGGGGCATTGCAATGGAGGGAGCGGGTAGGTTGAAAGTTCTAAACCGCACCATGCACTAAGAACAAGTTTTAGACAGCAAATTGATGTCTGTCACTTGAAATACGACTTATTATATATTATTTGACTTATATCCTAATTTGATTTCTGAGAACACATTATATATCGGTAGCTAGGCTTATTATTACCATAGCAACAGGAACTAACATATAAAACGTTAAAATATGATAATAATAATAATAATAATATTCATTTGTAAAGCGCAATAACTATGTGGATATATTCTATTGCGCTGCAAGAGCTCGTAAATGCTGTGCTATATTCAGTTTTAATTTAAAATTATTTAGTGATGGGGCTTTCCTTATTTCTAGTGGTAATTTATTCCATAATCTAGGGGCAGCACAGAGAAATGACCAGTCCCCTAGGGTTACTTTGGTTTTATATGGGGGTATTTGCAACATAAATGTGTCTTGTGTACTACAAAGGTTACGACCATGAGTTTGAAATTTGATATGCAACAATTCAGTAACGTAACTAGGAGTTTGACCATTTAGAGCTTTGAAGACTATCAAGTTTGCATCATCTGACATCATAATTCCTATCAAATTAGTCATCTGCTCGGTGATAGCATCTCCTCACGATATATATATTTTTTGACAGCCCCTAACAACAAAATTTGTCATTTTGGCTTCTAACAGAGTGTCAACTTTTGGAGCTTTTTATAACTTTTTATGCCTCCGCCACCGAAGGTGGTGCCGGAGGCATCATGTTTTCGGGTTGTCCGTCCGTCCGTCCGTACGTCCGTCCCGTTTGACCGTTATCACAATATCTCAAGAACCATTTAAGATTTAAACTCGGGAATAGTATTTATCACCATAGGAAGACGATCTGATTAGATTTTGGAGTACGTAGGTCAAAGGTCACAGGTCACAGAGGTCAACTTATGAAATTCCTTGTATTGAGTTTGTTAGCGCGATATCTCAAGTACCATTTGAGATTTAAACTTCAAACTTAAGGATAGTATGTATCACCATAGGAAGACGATCTGATTAGATTTTGGAGCACGTATGTCAAAAGGTCAAGGGTCACAGAGGTCAACTTATGAAATTCCATACATTGAGATTGTTATCATGATATCTCAAGAACCACTGGAGATTTAAACTTCAAACTTAGTGATAGTGTGTATCACTATAGGAAAACAATCTGATTACATTTTGGAGCACGTAGGTCAAAGGTCAACTTATGAAATTCCATACATTGAGATTGTTATCATGATATCTCAAGAACCACTGGAGATGTAAAAACTTCAAACTTAAGGATAGTATGTATCACCATAGGAAGACGATCTGAATAGATTTTGGAGCACGTAGGTCAAAGGTCAAGGGTCACAGAGGTCAACTTATGAAATTCCATACATTGAGATTGTTATCATAATATCTCAAGAACCACTGGAGATTTAAACTTCAAACTTAATGATAGTGTGTATCACCATAGGAAGACAATCTGATTAGATTTTGGAGCACGTAGGTCAAAGGTCAAGGGTCACAGAGGTCAACTTATGAAATTCCATACATTGAGATCGTTATCGCGATATCTCAAGAACCACTGGAGAATTTTCACTTCAAACTTAATGATAGTATGTATCACCATATCATAATATCTCAAGAACCACTGGAGATTTAAACTTCAAACTTAATGATAGTGTGTATCACCATAGGAAGACAATCTGATTAGATTTTGGAGCACGTAGGTCAAAGGTCAAGGGTCACAGAGGTCAACTTATGAAATTCCATACATTGAGATTGTTATCATGATATCTCAAGAACCACTGGAGATTTAAACTCCAAACTTGTTTAAATTGCTCTATGGCGGAGGCATCATTTTCGACTGCGCGCAGTCAAAATTCCATCTAGTTTTGTTATAAAAGCATTGGACTTGGAATTTGGATATATAATATCATGTTTCTGGACAGTTTTTCAGCAAGTTATAAGTCAGCATAATCTATTAAATATTGAGGAATAAGTATTTTGGCGCAATTCATATTCTATGGTTTTAACTCAAATTTATGTGAGATTTGACATCTATATTTTTCTTCTTTTGTTTTTGTTTAGTTGAAGCACGAATTAGTAAACAGGGTGGAGCTGATGACACCGACAGAAGAAGAAGATGACTTAGTCGATCAGAACATCATTACCACCGAGAACGGCCAATATCAGTGTGCCGTCTGCCTCAAGTGCTGCAAGCGCAAGTTTGACCTCAAACGCCACCTGTTGACTCACAGTAACATCAGGGAGCGGCCGCACAACTGTCCGCACTGCGACAAGCGATTCCTGACGGCCAGTCACCTTAGGCAGCATCTGAGAGCCCACGCCGGCATCAAACCTTTCGAATGTGAAGAATGCGGGAAAACGTTTGCACGCTCCAGCGAGGTCACGCGGCACAAGGTCGTGCACCAGAGAGGAGGAGTCGCCGGGAACTCTATAGAGAACTCAGTAGAAGAGGACCAGGATGCCATACCAGTGTCCGTGGTCTCTGCGATGGGGTCTCTCAGCTATGAATGCACAGACTGTGCGGAGACATTCCTCAATAAGAAAGACTTACAGCTTCACCTGTTTGAGAAGCACACCTTCCAGTGCAAGCAGTGTGCCACCGTGTTCCCGACCCTCGGAAGCCTGGAGCGCCACATGGCGGAACACCGGGAGGAGGTGTACACCTGCATTGAATGCTCCATGGTGTTTGTTCACAAGAAACAGCTCAAGCAACACAACAAGCAGAAGCATCGGGAAAAGCGACACGGAGAGAGCAGCAGCCGGCACGGGCACAAGCATCGCTGTGACGGGTGCGGGAAGGAGTTCCGCAAGAGCAGCAATCTCAAGAGGCACATGGTGACGCACACGGACCGGGAGAGGCGCCACCAGTGTGAGCTCTGCGAGAAGAGGTTCCTGACCAGTAGTCACCTGAAGGCTCATCACATGCAGAAGCACTCCGAGGAGAGACCCAACCAGTGCGCCTTCTGCGAGAAGAAGTTCGCTCGGAAGCACGACCTGAAGCGGCACATGGCTGTCCACGATGCTGACAGAGAGAGACCATACGAGTGTGAGCATTGTCAAAAGAGATACATCACGGCCAGCCATCTCAGAGATCATCAGGTTGTACACACAGGTATGAGACCCTATAACTGCGACATTTGCGGGCAGTCTTACACCCTACAGAGGGCTCTGTTGCGCCATTTAAAAGATAACCACCAGATTGACTCGTAGAAATCGTCACTGGCCTGTGATCTAGCCCAAGCTATTCATTCATCATGTGTCCCCATACCATACCAAGTAGAATGGAATAAGAGAACTGATCTTAAGAAAATGTTTGATTTTCCTTGATATTTGTTCCGATCTGAGCTGTTTCATGGGTATTGACTTTCATAGACTGCTCTGTTCTTAATCTTTCTTATAATCAGTAATGCATGCCACAAAATATATGGACTTGCCCAGTTATGCATCTCATTTAATGTGAGTTGTAGCATTCCAAATAGTCACTTGATGAGGCCCCCTCCCCTTCTATGTACATACTTCTAATTCCACTTCATGCACTGTACATAGCTTTATCTTAAAATGATTGTATGACTCAACAAACATATGAAAAAAGGCGTTGAGGTGTTTCAACTCAAAAGATTTTGCTTGCAGAATGTTGTATTTCCTAGTACAATGCATCAAGTTGGTGTTGATTTTAATCAGTAGTTTAGTAGGTATATATCTGTAATCTAGATTTACATGTATATTTTGATCTGTAAAGAGCCCAGGGTTCCCAAAGTCATTGAAAAGCCTGGAAAGTCATGGAAGTTGTGAGGTGGGGGCGGGGGCCGTCATAAACATGAAATATTATATATCGCTACATGGTATTTATACGCCGTTTGTACATACATATTTATTATATTAAGACATATTTATCTGGTCATGGAAAAAGACAAAAACAGAAGTCTTGGGAATTCCTGGAATTAGATTCTCCAATCTCTGTAGGAATCCTAATTTCCCCACACTCTATTTAGTGTGTTTATAGTGGGTCTTGATTGATGAGGATTTAAGAGCCTGTATGCACGAGAAACTTGCAAACATTTTAGAATTTGATGTTCTAAACTTATATTGTGGGCTACTCAATTTCATTGACACCTGCTAACTTTAAGTCCCACATTAGGAACATGTGTGTATGCGAGCAAGACATCAGTCTTCATCTAAAGTTGTTTGTTTTTGTGGTCACCTTGTGATGTTGTTGTGCTGTTGGACACATCGTCACACAAATACCAAGCATACATATAAACCCAATGGAATTTTTCACTTGTTTGTTTGTTTGTTTGTGCATGTGGTTGCCAACTCTCTCCAGGTATAAAGGTGCTTTAAAACGGGCGCTGATTCTGCTGTGCCATCATCCACCATCTCACATTGCATGATGCCCTCCACAGCGCCCTCTGGAGTCTGGAAGATGCCATGCCGCAGGCCGGAGGACTCGCTTTGCTGCTTGGTTGATACACCAGTCGGTTGCAGCAGTCTTAAAGAGAAGTTCAGGGGGGTGTCTCACAAAGATCCTAAGTTGAACTTATCTCTAAGTTGGACTTAACAATTATGGAAAGCCGTTAGTATCTTTGAAAATACTTTGTAAAAAATTGTTTTTAAAAGGCATAAAATGTTGATTTAAATCATTCATATTTTCTAGAATCAAGGAGATATTCATGTTCTTGATGAAAAGTCTGAAATACTTTTTTTTGGCTTTTGAATATATTTTATTTTAAAGCTACAAATGGCTCTCCATAATGTTTAAGTCCAACTTAGAGTTAAGTTTGATTTAGAATGTTTGTGAAACAGCCCCCTGTTCTGGGAAAGGTGAAAGATAACTTGTGAGCTTATTCCTGCATTTTGTGTAAGTGTGCCAGAATACCATAGAAAAATTGTCCAGTGAAAATGGTGACTCCTCAAATGCCCTGATTTTAGAAATATAACGAGAAATAGTTTAAATGTTTAGACCAATGTGTCATGCCTCATGTTTATGTAGTCCCATATACACATTTCTGTGAGGAGTACATGTGACTATCAGCAAGATTGAGCCAATTCCTTATCATTTTGATGATTAAAAAAACCTCACAGTATAACTTACTGGCTACTTCATCCACCTTTCCCAATCACTTCCTGACAGTTCTTTGGCAATGTAATAACATATTCACATGATCGGGGACCTGTTTCACAGAGCCTTTTTCCAATGACAAATGACAAAAATCAGTGACAAATCTGCTGATAACCAATCAGAAGCAAGGATTTTACTAGCTCATAACAAAAATGTCATTTGTCACTGATGACAAGTTTTGTGAAATAAGGCCCAGAACTCTTTGTCTAGCCACTTTCACACTTGAAGCCTTCAGGTCATTACATCCTACGGTGAATGCTTCAAAGGGCCAAAACCTGAGCCAAAATGGGTGATAAAATGACTCGCCCTATCTACTCTTGCTTATTAGCAGGCTTGAAGCTTACAAATTTCAACTGCAGCCCCCTAAGTCCCCCCCCCCCCCCATTGAGAGTTTGAAGAGGGGCCCGTTGACACTAAATTTTTTAATCTAGGCTCCATGTGGAAAGAAAGGACTGAAGAGGAAGCCCTGTTTGTTTGAATTCTTGCCAGTGGTTTGGGGTACACAGGTTTACAAGGTGGGCAAAAAGAAAAGAAACAAAAAGTGATATTTTGATTTTCACTGATTTCAATCATGATTTATACAAAAAGATATTTTTTTTTTAATTGATTGGATTTGAGTTAATCCAATCTTGATTTCTTGCAATCAGATGGGAATAAATTTTGACTATTATTTAAATCTGTAACATTTTTAGCTTCTCTTTGAGTTTGCTTTATTGGCAAGCAAAACACCTTCATTCTATGTTATATCTTTTTGATATACAAGATGTAGTACACATGCTTGCTGGTCATTGAGGCTAAGATTACGAAGCACCTTATCAAAATCAGTTCAATATTTATATTGTGTACGCTTACATTCTCGGCATTCATTGCTAACACTTTGTAGTGCTTGTGTCCTTTCTGTTTGATTTGTTTGCTGTGAATGTTAATGTATCTGGATAATTAACCAAGCAGATCAGAGTATTTTCAGGATTAAATGAATCAGCTATTCATCCTCAAATTGGCACCTATTATTTGTATTTTCTACATCGTGATAGCTTAAGAAATATAGATATATACATCAAATGCACAAGTGTGAAACAAGAAATCGCTCATTTTTACATGATAGTGGTTTTATATTTCCCTCTGTGTTGCCAATTTAGAGATTTCAATGATTCAGAGAGTACCATCTTGGCATGTAATTAATATCATACCTAAGAGAAACGCAAGTATCAAAATGAAATTACAAATGGGCTGCTCATGATTATAAACATGTACGTTCTTTAGCTTCACAAATAATTAGAACTTGGCATTGGAGAGATCAGCTTGTACATGTACCTTCATAACAAAAATAACAGGACATATTCTTCATGCCAAGAACTTATATTAGGACACATAGCATAATTTGTGATTGAATGTTTCTTCTGTTTTTATATTAATTTTTATAGTAATGAATTTTAAAGTTAGCTGGCATGTACACATTTGAAAAGCTGATATACTAGATGATGTTTGTCGAGCTGTTTTATATACATTATGTGGTGTGCTATTATTGATGTGATAGAAATATATTAGTTTGTATCAGTACAGATCTTGTCTATCACCTCCGTGGCATGGGCAGGTTTGAGAATTAGAGCGTGTGTGCATCAAGAAATCTCTATAAAAAAAACTTTATTGTGCTCTGCCTTTTCTTTCACAATCGGGACCTTGTTGTATAAATCTTAGTATCGATGGTAACTTTGCCATTAATGGTAGTTTCTCTGTAAACCTAGATTTGATTGGCTGTTGAGTAATGTTGCCATGGTAGTCAATATTAATGGTGAAATAACCATCAGTGGTAAGTTTTATGCAACAGGATCCTGGTACAATTGACCAAAAAAAATGGACAACTCTCTTACCATTTCGGGTGTCAGACCTGGGACCCGTTTCACAAAGCCTTTTTTCAATCACAAATGACAAAAATCAGTGACGATCTGCTAATAACCAATCAGAAGCAAGGATTTCACTACCTGTAGCTTATAACAAAAACTGTCATTTGTCACTTATGACAAATTTCGTGAAATGGGACCCTTGTTTGTAGTTCAAGATTTTGTGTGCATCAGGTGACAAGAGTTGTAAGTCCATGTAGAAAACATACCTTATAAGCACCACTGTGGTTATTTCACCCAATTAAATGAATTAATGCTTGTTTAGATATGGTATGGTAAGCCTTCGCCCACAAAAGACAACCTGCCACTTCTTTTTAACGTGTAAAATGATTGGCAACGGTGCGCAACAAAGAACTTCAACGTATCAACTGAGCTCTGTGTTATACGATGATGAAATGTAAAGCGTTTTATACTTCACATCATCTTACAAAATCAAGCGATTTTGCTGCATCAAATCTGAACGAGCCTAAATGTTGAAATTTCCTTATTCTGTTATTTTTAGTTAATATTACATTTAGCTATCCTGTCGTGGATGAATCGTGATTATATTTATTACTGCATGTATGAGAGTTTAATTATTGTACGGCTGTTTGTATTTGTATTGAAGTGCATTATTGTACCACTGTGAAGCAGAAATTGAAGCATTTTGAAATTTTAAAAATATTTTGTATATCTCCAGTATGTGAGAAACATCTATCTGTAAATTTTGAATTAAGTGTATAGGGCTGTTTGTTGACTATTTGTGTTACACATTGGTTAATTGTGTTTTGGTTGTATTAGTAATAGTGACGTTACCTTTATCGAGTGAGGCACAACTGAACATGTCAAGGATAAGAAATAAAGTGTTTTAGTTTGGATAGAATGCAATTACAATGATTTTCATAATATGATACTACGATTGAAAGCTGGTTAAGGGTTTTGTGAGCGTTTGCTGTTAGTTCATTTTACAACACATATGCGGCTGCTCCCTCATGTAAAACATACATACAGCCAAATTATTCATACCCCTTGGAAATTTTATGTGTATTTTGTGTGTTTGTAACTCAAGAATGAAAGGTGGATTGGTTGGATTAGGGCTTTTGTTGAATAATTTTAGATATAAGCTTTGATATGTCACATTCTCATAAAACTTGGATTGGGACAAAAAAAATTGTCACATACTGAAAAATTACAAAGGGTATGAATAATTTAATTGTTAACTGTAGCTCTACAAGCTGGCGAAGCTATGTGTATTTACATTCATTTCTGACGACTGAGTGACGAGTCATTTTATTACTCGATTATTATGTTTCATTGTAAAGTAGAAATTAATGTTGAAGATTTATCTGTTTTTTCTAAATTTTCTCTATTTATAGAAAATAGGAATTGTTTCAATGTTTGACCATTTTGCCATGTAATATATGTAAATATGTAATAAAAATGAAAGAGGTTAAACAAACAAAGGATGCTAATTTCGGTATATTATACATCAACAAAAGAAAACAAAATTGCATGCCTGTATCTATGTGGATGCACATATTATGTATTACTTGCTATTAATGCTTGTTGAAATAAATCTTATAAAACTAGGATACTTTTGTACATTTTGTTTGATTCAACTGTCATATAGCTCCGTTTAGTCTCATTTCACAATGCCCCCTATCGTCAGAGTCAGCAGCCATACGTGTTAGCCTATAGAATCGTACAAAAAAAAAATCTTTAAAATACGTCTCTATGATAAGAACATTAGAGCCTCAGAGATAAAGGGCTAACAGAGAGAAATAGATCCATTTAAAATTCAATGACCTAACTTTTCCTTGAAACTGGTTTGACATAATTTTTTTCTTTACATCATTGCATCAGTCTTCATCACTTTGCATTTGAACCACTCTGTTCATAATAGGAACCATATTATGTTCGGCAGCTTCAGTTTTTGCAAGTGCTGTACGATTGACCTCGTAGAAAATAAGCAAGAGAGTGATCGAGAGAAGAGAGGATGAGATGGAATATAGAAGCTGGAGACAGAGAATAAGGAGAGAGGAGGGGAAGACGAGGGAGGTAGAGAGACAGATAGAGGGAGAACGGAGGAGGAGGAGAATGTGGAGAAAGAAGAACAAAAAACGAGAACAAGGAGGATAAATTAGCCGAATGGTATGATGAGGGCAACAAATAAGTAATCCATGGTATATTGTAAGTATTATGATTAAGTTTCATGATTAGTAATTACCAGAGTGTGATGACCTAATTTATTGTCCCAACACCCAATCATTACATTTTTTTTTAATTTTAAATTTTGTTCTTCTTCAACGTATATAGGCCGAGATTAAACCTTTGAAACCAAAATTTTGGACAAATAGCCTACTGTAGGAGCCCGAATAATAATATAATTGTTGAATATGATCTTGCATAACAATGAGACATTCACGTGACCTCTGGAAGAATGAAAAAGAAATTAAGGCAGAAGGTAATGAAGGCAAAATAACATTATTTCCTAGTTTCCTAAAAAAACGTATCTATCTTTAATGGTATTTTTGTTAAAAGTGGGACCCATGTTTAAGGATCTTTTGTGAAAAAGTGACACATTAGAGCGGCACACCCCCGTATGTCCTGATATGTGAGTACCCCCCCCCCCCCCTCTTCACCCCTCGATCCTTCGTTTCGTCGACCCTCATAATATCAGTGTTTTTTGTTCAAAAATGAAAATGAATAAGAATCTGATTGTTTTAAGGGTAATAAGACTAATATTAATGTATTTCCAGCCCCCGAAGTAACAAAAGACATACATTATAAGATATAAGCCTCATACAAATTACAATAAGAGAGCATTTGTCTCTATGCAGGAACAAATTTTACTATGTGCATGTACGTAGTATATAGTTCTCGATGTAATTATGTTCCCAGGCAAGCGAGCTAGCAAAATAGGTACCCGCCCATTTCTGCTTGTGTTTGGAATCATCCATTATATCAGGAGGGTCCTCTGTAAAAGTCACGTACATACATGCTACCAAGAATTGTATAAGCTACCTCAAGGCTCTTGCTGGAAACGCAAAAATAAATCATTTTGATTCTACTATGTTGCATTTAATTTTTCAAATTGTTACAATGCAAAAAGAATTATAATTATTCCAACAACAACAATTACTATCCCTAAAATATAAAAATTAAATATTCCGGAAGTTCAATTTCCCGCGAAATGTTTAAAGCCCCGCGAATTTTAATGAGCTGCAAACTTAACTGCGTGGACTGTCAGATCTGTCAGAACAACAAGTCAAGATTGTGAGACAATCTGCCCTTATTTTGGTGTCCTTACCTTGTGCTATCTATACTAGTTTTCCTTGAAGATGGCGCCCAATAAAAAGGTAAATCAGTTTTAAGTATGATCTACTGAAAACAGAATTTATCGTGTAATTTTGTGTAAGCTTGTAAGTTGTTGACTTGTGCTCTTGTTATTGACGTGCGGCAGCGTGCCTGTTGATGGCAAATGTAGGAAACGTGATCCGCGTGTAGACTTGTGACTTCGTCGGCCAGCGCGGTGTCAGGCGGCCGTAGTGTATGCGTAGCAAGTCTTTCCTCTACCGGCCGGGCTCGGGCTCGGGCCCGGTCTGAAACATCTGGTCTCCCCCATAGTACTTGGATCCTGGATTGAATTCCTCCTAATACTCCATAGGCTGATAGGCAGTGATAAGGTCTAGATCTAGTAGAAGAGTTTTGACTGGTGCCTGGATTCTGGAAATCGGTCAAGCATCGATTTATTTCAACCAAGGCAACAGTGTGAAGATTTGATTCAAAACAAGTCAAGATTAGATTATTATTTATATTCAATACTTGCAACCTAACTTCCTAAACATGCAGTAGATCTAGACCTAGATTACAGTTAAATGTTTACTGGGGTGAAAGTTATTTAATTTGCTTACCTTCCACGTGTTCTTGATGATATTTAATGCACTGCCATGCACTGGCACTGGTTTACTTTACAAAAACACTGACCTTATAGGGATTGATATCGTGATAACCGATACCGATACCGATATGATCGGGGGAGGGATCGAGAGAGAAGAAAATGGACGACTGTCTGTAAGATTCCGATTGTTGTTTCTAAGGCCGTTGTCGCCTTAATATTAAAGGTGTTTTAACCCAATTCCTGTCTGAGATCTAATCCTTCCTGTCTGTACATAGTGAACCCCCTTATACTGGCGTAATCGGCAGGGATTTTCTTTGTGCTATGGCTTTTTTGGAAATCTAAGGATTGGGTGAGAAGTTAATTGACACGGTTGTTTCATGCAGTGTGTGACTGTTGCCCCACTTATTGCGCAGGCCTATAGGCCTACTAGTAGGGTGTCTGAACGATTTTTCAATTTTCAATTTGGGATCGTTTTTCACCATTTTTGTTGGATATTGGAATAAAAAATGTAATCAGAATAATACCTTTCAAATTTCAAGACTCACCGATGTTTCTATCAAAAGATACAGCCCCTCAAAAACTGTGCAATATTCATAGCATTTTGGTCAGAATGGACAGAAAAGTGGTTCAGGCAGAGTTATAATTTCTGCTCAAAAGCTGCACAGCTAATGCACAGCACGATATGCAAAGTGTGGAGTAAGGGTATTTTTCAAACTGTTGTAACAAATGATCCCTTGGGACTAGAGAAAAAATAAGTTCATGGATATATTCTTTACAGCTGGCCCAACTTATCCCTCGGGGGAGCAGTTCGTGAAATTGGTAAATCTCCGAGTTACCATGGAAACGATGTTTAAATCGCTGTTTTGAGCAAGATATTTTTAGAATTCCGGGGGTGGCCCCCTATGGGGAATATGGAGAAAAACCTGCTCTTTCATATGACACCACATTTATTGAGTTTCACCTTCAGGATCATTTGTTATAAAGGTTTGAATTTCAAATTTTTCATAAAATCATTGACCAATTTTGCTTGGTCGCGCAATGCATGTAGACCACATAGGGATGTGTGCAATCTCTATGGGAAAGATTTTAGCACACAACATCGGGTGCGCGATCAGACACCCTACTACTAGTGCTTGTTGATTTAGCAGTAGATCTAGGGTCTAGATCTAGGTCTAGACTCTACAGATAGACTAATCAAAGTTAAGGTAGCTATTAAACAAGTAGTCTAGTATAAAAAATGAAATAGAAAAATAAATAAATACATAGGGTCTAGACTAGACTAAAATTAAATAAATAAAAGTTTGATTAAAATAGTAGATTTAGAAGTCTAGACCACTCTCACTAACCATACACCATACACTAAAACACACACGTTCAATAGGTCACTAAATTAAATTTAAACTAGATCTAGACTAGTCTAGTATAATATTCAGTGCTCAATAAAAGATAAAATTAACCATGACAGACCGATCAGCATATCTCGGCAGATTTACAGCTGAGCACATAGCACACTTGTGTGAATTGAATCATATTGATACCAATGCTGTAAAGACCAAGCAAGAGCGGATCTCATGTTTATGTGATTTGCCTAAGCTGGTAGAGGATGAACCAAAAAATACAGATGTGGGTGTGGATGACCTTTTGCGGGTCATGAAGCACCTTGAAGATTCTCATCATCATGAGACTGAGAAACTATGCAAATCCTTACTGTCTGCTGCAATCGGTAGCTCTGCACAAACTGGTCCTCCGTTAAAGGGATTACATCAGCTAAGTAACGATGATGATATGGTGTGCTACCTTAGCACTTTTGAGCGACTAGCCCTGGCAGCAAACAAGCCAAAGAGTGAATGGCCTCGGCTGTTAGAACCATATCTTACTGGAAGAGCTCAGCAGGCATTCCACGCCCTGAGTACTAGAGAACAAAACAACTATGATGATGTTGTCCTGGCCATAAAGAGAAGGTACCACCTCACTCCGGAGGCATACAGAATAAAGTTCAAAAAAGAACATAAGAAGACCAATGAAAGTTATGAAGAATTCGCTAGTCATTTACAAGGTTATTTTTTGAAGTGGGTTGAGATACCCCAGGAGGCAGTAGAGATGCCTGAAGTCTCTAAAGGGCTCAATCTGGTCATGATTGACCAATTCTTAGAGAGAGTACCCGATGAAGTATTGAGGTTAAAGCTAAGGGAGCTACAAGCCACATCTCTCATGGTAGTTGCGCGCAAGGCGGACGAATTAGTAATCCAGAGGGGGGCGAATGCGGGTAACACAACCCCAGGGAGTGATCCCTCCACTCCACGACGGACAGGTGCAGGCAGTAACCCCACGGGACGTAGATCCTTTAATGCTGCCTGCTACCGGTGTGGCCAGCTCGGGCACAGAATTGCCAACTGTCCGGTACCTCCGGGGGCCACAGGGTCGGGTTTCCAGGGAGGACCTCCACAGGGCTTTACTCGAGAACCGTCACCAAGGTGCAATTTCATTGCAAAGGATAGGGGTGATGCTACAATTGCAGATGTTGTCGTTCAGGGTCTAGATGACAGAGTGGTGAAGACCCAAGCCCTGCTGGACTCGGGGTCAGAGGTTTCCCTGGTCACTTTTGAATTGTGTAAGGAGTTAGGGGTTGAGGTTACTCGTGAAACTGAAGGGGTGTTGGGCATGATCAATGAAACCGCCTTAGTGCCTGATGGTATAGCATCCCTGCAAGTGGGTCTAGGAGGCAGCACTGCGACTGAGGTCTTTCATGTGGTTGGTAGGCTCCCAGTACCTGTCCTCCTTGGTGCTGATTTTGCTGAAAAGGTGAAACTTATCATAGATTTTGGCAGTCGTAGTTATAGCACAAGTAGCAATGGGGCCAATGAGCGGCCAGTTAAGTTCTCGTTGAATGGAGGGCAGGAGATGTCACATGTTGAAGAAGAAGTCGATGTTCATCTCCAAGCTGAGGATGAGATGAAGAAACTTGATCTAACTGAAGCAGATAGACAGAAATTAGATCAGGTTTTTCAAGACTTCCCAGATGTGTTTAGTGAGGTACCTGGTCATACGAACATGGCTATTCATAGAATTGATGTAGGAGGGGCTTCTCCCATCCGCTCTCACCCGTACAAGGTGAGTCCTGAGAAAAGACAAGCTCTTGATGAAGAGTTGGATAAGCTTCTGGACATGGGGAAGATTGAGCCTTCAGATTCACCTTGGGCCGCTCCTGTAGTGATGGTCCCTAAGAAGAACGGGAAGTACAGGATGTGTGTCGATTACCGAAAATTGAATACAATTACAAAGATTGATGCCTTCCCCATGCCTACAGTGGATGACATTTTGAGCTCTCTGCATGGTGCCTCGGTTTTCTCGTCATTAGATCTGCGCAGTGGATACTGGCAGATGGGTGTTGCAGATGAGGATGAGGAGAAGACTGCTTTTGTTTGTCATAGGGGTCTATTCCACTTCAAGGTCCTTCCTTTTGGTGTGGTAAATGGTCCTGCCAGTTTCCAACGGTTGATGTCCAAGGTGCTTGATGGCCTGATAGGGCGAAATTGCTATGTCTACTTGGACGACATTGTGTGTTTCTCTCCGGATATTGAGCAGCACATCTCTGATCTCCAGGAGATCTTTTGTTGCTTACGACAAGCGGGTCTGACCGTAAATACTGAGAAATGTCAGTTTGCCTGCCAAGAAATGAAATATCTTGGCCATGTTGTCAGCTCAAATGGACTCAAGATGGACCCCGAGAAGGTGTCTACCATTGTTAACTATCCCCAACCTAGGTCGATCAAGGAATTAGAGAGGTTCCTTGGGATGGCCGGATGGTATCAGAAATTCATTCCTAGCTTCTCAGAGGTTGCTGCACCTCTTCATGGATTGAAGAAGAAAGGTGTTCCCTGGAATTGGACTGCTGACTGCACTCGTGCTTTTCAGGCCTTGAAGGAGAGCCTCCTCACTGAGCCAATACTAGGCTACCCTGATGAAGAATCCAGGTTTGCTGTACACACAGATGCCAGCAATGTTGGGGTCGGTGCAGTCCTGATCCAGCAGCAACCGTCTGGGACGAGAACTATCGCCTATGCGAGTCGGTCTTTGTCTGCTGCAGAAAGGAATTATAGTACTACTGAGAAGGAGTGTTTGGCTGTAGTATGGGCCCTAGAGAAATGGCGGCCATATCTGGAAGGTAGAGAGTGTCGTGTAATAACGGACCACCAGGCACTTTGCTGGTTATTTCGGAAGAAGAAGCAAAATGGGCGACTTGCTCGTTGGATTCTGAGGCTTCAGGATTTTCGGTTTCAGGTGATATACAGGCCTGGAAAGCAACATCATGTCCCGGACGCACTATCTAGGATTCCTGAGAAAGGTGTTGCCCCTTTGGTGGGAGTTGTAAACAGGGTTTTGTCGGATCGAGTCTGTGACGGACATGAAAAGGACTTATGTGCAGCCAGTGATTGCATTTCCCCGGATGATGAGTCGGTTAGTTGGGTACAATGTGATGATTGTGATAAGTGGTATCACCAGGTTTGTGTCCATATTGGTTCTCAAGAGGCGGAGGAGGTGGACAAATACTCTTGCCCATCTTGTGTTGGCAAGTCAGAGGCCACGGATGAAGTCGTTCTTCCTTTGGATTTGACAAAGGATTCTGTCCTGAGGGCACAACAGAGTGACCCAGATCTTTTGCCAATCATTCAGATCCTTGAAAAGCAAAAGAATGGTGGTGGGGAGGATCAAGGTCCTGTTCAGAGGTTTTCAGATTTCAGTTTGAAGGGAATGGTGTTGTATAAGAATGAATGTGTAGTTATCCCCAAGGCGCTTCAGAATGCAGTGTTAGTTGAGTGTCATTGCAAGCCAATAGCTGGGCATCTTGGGAGAAAGAAGACACTTCAAAGGTTGAAGTCGATGGGTCTCTGGTGGAGTGGTATGTCGCGGTCTGTAAGAAGCTTTATTCGCAGTTGTAAGGTTTGTCTTCAAACAAAACCTTCTTACCAGAGACGTCAAGGGAAGATGTTGTCTAGTACCTCCACGAGGCCTTGGGAAAAGGTTGGTGTAGATCTCATGGGGCCTTTGCCAAAGTCGTATGCTGGGCATGAGTATATTCTGGTGGCTGTCGACCATTTCTCAAAGTTTGTGGAGATTCTGCCTTTGAAGTCAGCTACCAGCCAGTCGGTTGCAACCACTCTAGTGAGGGAGCTGTTCTGCAGATATGGACCTCCAGGAGCCCTGCTCTCGGATAATGGCCCCCAATTCAGAGGGAAGGTTCTGCGAGCTGTCTGCACAGATTGGGGGATTGAGCAGATCTTCATCACGCCATATCACCCCCAAACGAACTGGGTCGAAAGGGTGAATCGTAACATCAAGGCCATGCTTCAAGCTTACACCGGATCTGACCATCGACAGTGGGATGTTCATCTCGCTGAACTCGCGTTTGCCCTGAACAGCAGTAGTCATGACACACTTGGTGTAGAACCATCAGTAGTTATGTTTGGACGGCGCTTGGCTTCTCCCTTGACTAACCGCCTGCAGACTGAGGGAAACAAAGACATTCCTACGCAAGAAGAAATCGCACACAATCGTCGACGCGCTGTTAGTAGCTCCAAACAATACTACGACCAGAGCCGTGATGAGTGCCGCATCACTGAAGGAAGCCAAGTCATGGTGAAGACTAAACCTCTATCAAATGCGGAAAAGAACTTCTCAGCTAAGCTAGCACCACGATGGACTGGGCCGTTTGTTGTGCAGAAAAAACTAACCCCAGTGAATTTTCTTGTGGTGAACGCTGCCAACAAGAAGATAACTCGCATTGTTCATGTGGACCAATTGAAAGGGTGCTAATTACTTCGAACATAGACTTCGCATGTTGTCAACGCTGTTAAAATTGTCGCTTATTGTAGCATATTGGATCAGGACTGGTTGAAAGTTCGCGACTCACGATTACATTGACTTACCTTTATAGCCGAGTAAGATTGCAGTTTGGTCGAGAGCGGGACTGTCACAGTTGGGCTATTGATCGCGAAACTAAATGGACGCTAAGTTTAATTGATCTGGACTCTTAATATAGATTCTAACAGACTCTTATTTCAACTGATGTTATATGTTTAATGTCAACCATTTATATTGGTGCGTGCCCATGTGCTTTAATTCTGGCTCGTGCAGAATTATGCACTCTTCAGAATTGTTGATGACTATTATAATATTAACATGTCGGATCCTTATCTTTACAGTTAAAGGATAAATACAACCGGTTGGAAATTGTTGAAAATTGGAACTGTATATAAACTTGTGATTCCCTGCGAATTTTCTGTCTTTGCATCTAGTGTTTTTACTTAGAGTTATACATGTACACTGAATTTTTGTGCACATGAAATTGTTATACAGTATGTACACAGAATTTGTGTTTCAAAAGATAAACGAAACAAAAGGACTACCAATTGAGTGTAGTTTATAATTTACACATATACAGATGTTAGTTTTGCTAACGTCCTACACTTTGGTAAACACTATATCTGACCTGACATTGGGTATAACAATATATATATATATATATATATTGTTATATATATTTAAATGTTTTTGCCGGACCTGCTGAACGGATTTAAATTAATAGAGGATACGAAGTATGTTTAGTTGTCATTCATCCTACACTTTAGCCATGCAGGTAGGGATAAATTACAAATTTGTCTAAGGGTTATTTCTTTTAGAAAGAAATCAAACAAAAGAGCACTCAGCTGTGCTGGTGCTGTGTTACTTCTTTTGATTTTTCTTTGAAAAGGTATTCATGGATATGTTTGAACATGTTCAGACGATAATCTGTATTGGACGTTTTTTCTTGTTGGTTTTTGGCATTATGTATTTTGCATCTCTGTTTTAAAGGGGGAAGCTATCCTTTGGGGTGCGGTGTTCGTTATTCTTACAGTGTACATTTTTTGAGTACTGATGGTATCTTGCGCAGACAAGCGAACTGGGTGTATAGATTTACCCTGAACTCAACATAGAAAGAGTCGATAGCGATCACAGCAAATTAAGAGAACTGGTGGTCGTCTGTTTTGTCTGTACGCGCGCTTGGTTGCAATATTGTTGCTTCACATGTATATGTCTCGGGCGAGATTTGGCTTGTTTTATGAGCAGTTTGGAAATGTTTGAATATAATTTGAAAAAACCCCGTAGGGTATTTTTGGTGGGGGAGAGTATAGGGATTGATATCGTGATAACCGATACCGATACCGATATGATCGGGGGAGGGATCGAGAGAGAAGAAAATGGACGACTGTCTGTAAGATTCCGATTGTTGTTTCTAAGGCCGTTGTCGCCTTATTAAAGGTGTTTTAACCCAATTCCTGTCTGAGATCTAATCCTTCCTGTCTGTACATAGTGAACCCCCTTATAACCTCTCACTTCAGAGTTTCAGATCTATTGTAGATCTAGGTTTTGCCGGGAATGCAAATAGGATCTAGATCTACACACGCTGTACACGAAAATAGCTGTTTTCATGCAATTTCATACTTAGATCTAATTACGTTGTGATAAAATATAATGAAAGGCAAGATCTAATTAGTTTAGCATCGAAATTAAGGCGCACGCATTGAGTTTGTTAAATTTAGCAAACTCCCTGCGCTTGCACTCGCACCTACTTTAACTATAATCGCTATCTGCAAGTATATGCTACAACAGTTAATTCCATATGTTCTATACCATCTCCTTGTACATTCAGAACTGCACGGATTTGCCTGCCATGTTCACAGCGGATCTCTTCTGTGGCGAGGCAATCGATGATGAGACTTACGAGGAGCGGAGACGGAAGAATATCAAAGAAAATCAAGCAATGGTATGTAGTTTTGATGCCACACCTGCTCATTCGCATATTTGCCACTCTCCACCCAGATGAAGTAGTTGCCCAGTAGAAAAAGAACTTTTTTTTTGGGGGGGGGGGGGGGGGAGGGGTGTCAAATTTTCCCTTGGGTCGCACCACGCCTTTTTAATTTCTTGGCGAGAGGCCTGTCAGCATTTAAAGCCCACCCGCACACTGCATATTTATGCTCTGAGTCTGACTGCGATCCGATTTTGGACGAATTTAATTGATATGAACAATCAGTCGTGTGTTTATTAAAAACTAAATATCAAAGGATATCAAGTCTTCCTTTTCTTCCTCCTGCTTTTTACCAGGAGTTTGAACTGACACTTTCATGAATTTCATTTTTTTTATAAAGATATATAAATAGAAACATTGTATTAAGCGCATAATAAATGTAATGTATTATTATTATTATTATTCTAAATATATATGAGCTATGATTATATTATGTCCAGGTGCATGTGTAAAAAAACACTTTATTTTGTCATTATGGATTATTATTTTTGTATGCAAATGGGATAGGCCAAGATGATCTAAAAACATAATGAATCTCTTTTTGGTTGCTGTTATTTCACTATAACATGACAAAATCGATTTACTCTACCAGGAATGTAGAGCCATATTATTTCAGATCATTATATTTCTTCTCTATTCCAGCTCACAAAACTTCTTGCAGACATCAAGGACCTGCCGGGGCTTCCAGACTTGCCAATGTTCAGACAAGCTCCTGCGCCCAAGGTAAGTTGTGCGGAAGCTTGTAGAAAACATTCAATCATCTTCCTGTATGCTCAATGATGAATGGTGAAATCAAGTCTTTGCAATTTAAAAAGTGTTGCTAAATTAAGGAGAAAAGAGGCTCATTGAAAAAGAGCCTAGTCATTCCGAATTCTCTCAATGAAATTATATAATGAGGTCTTTTGAAATTATGAAATGTAGGCTCCCCTTGCACCCTTGTCACTGTTTGTTGTGTTTTGGGAGGAAAAAATTGCCACTGAAGTATGAGAAATAAGATTTGATGCTTTCAGTTTGCCCTGTTATTTACTACAAAAAGCAGAAATTAAAAATCAGGAAAGTTTATGTGGTAGGACCTGGAAGTGAACCAATTGTAAATAAAATCATAATTTGTTTCTGGGGATGGGGGCTACTGATATGGTTGTCCAGTTGTCTGGGAGTCAAAGCTCAGAGAAAACTTGTCCTAGAATAAAGTAGAATACGAAGATCTTCCATTCATAATTTCTTTTATACTACTCCTTAAAGAAGCCGGTCAAGCCAGTCAAACCAAGGCGATCCCTTGACACTGAGAGAGCGAGCCCATTAAGGAGGAACCCGTCACGACATGCCAGGTACAGCCCCTCTAAGGACTCCCCTAGCAGCAGGACCAGGCTGTCGTCACGGTTACAACAGAAGCGAGAAGAGGAGGGTGATGATGTCTTCCCCATGATGCCCGGACAGGTAGGGGATGCTGTTCACACACCCACCCTCCCCCCCCCCCCCCCAGATAGGGGACAGTTTTTCTTAGTGTGGCAAGAGTGCCTACATGTATATCTGCACATCACTCTCAACTGCACTTTTCTTGTTTGTTTGTTTGTTTTACATGACTGCAAAGAAAGCATTTGTATGCTTGTAAGTAACCCTGTAAGTTGGGGCTCTGATCGGATCGGAAGATCGGAGCGACACCATCGCACCTTTGATCGGTATCGGATCGGAAGATCGACAAAAAAAATCGGCCTATTTTTATTTAAAATTTTTTTTTTTTTTTAAAGGATTTAAGGATTATAATGCATACCTACATTATAATCCAAGATGGCGGCCCGCATGTTTTGCCTCTGCTCTTAGACCAATATTGTTAAGTTCAAAGTCATGAAAAGGCACTTAATATCAACAAACATCGTCTACAACAACTCCACATGACAAAATAATCCCAGCTATGATGTTTTTTAAAGCATTTGATAGCCAAACACTTGAAAATTTTCGGCATTAAAAAAAAAAAAAAATTCTGCCGATTTTTTTAACGATCATTTTAATTGATCGGCAATCGAAAATTATTATTTGATCACCCCTGATCGGATCGGTATCGGCGTCCGATCCGATGATCGTTTACAGGGTTACTTGTAAGTAAGCACTCAGGGAACTGATGGCTTTAAGCCCTTTCCAAGGGACTTGGTAATGGGGATCAATGCCTTACCAAAGGGCACCAGTGCATTAACTTGGGACCTGGGACCTCCCGGCTATTCATTCTTTTGTATTTAACTGTTTTAATTCCCATTAAATGAAGTTAAAAAAAATTAAAGGAATAAAGCTGCATTAATGGTAGCTTGTGTGCTGCCAGGAGAACTTAAGATAAACTTTTTAAAACTATATTCTCTTTATGTTCTCTTTTCTCATACAGTGTACATGTACTTTAATGCTATCAGTCAAATGTTGCAAGATCCCATGACTTTTTGCATATACTGTACATTCAGTTAAAGATATAAAATTTTGAATAAATAATCTTGTATAAGGTTGTGTATTAGAAAAAGGAAGTATCGGTTCTTACAACTCATCATTCACTTGTGGTTCTGTCTTAACTCAGAAATTGGTCATCAAATTTGGGCCGTCACCAGCCAGTCGTAAACGTCGTTTGTCTGATGGAGAATCAGATGTGGAGAGCAGAGGTGATGAGTTTGAGATCTTTGAGGTAAGATACTGGTATCACAGAAACCTGTCTATAAAGACCAGCCAAGGAAGACAAGAAAAGTGGTCTTTATAGACAGGTGGTCTTTAATACATGTTTCAATGAGAAACCTATTCAAGGGAAACAAACAAATTTGGTCTTTGTAGACAGGTGGTCACTAAAGCAGGTTTGACTATTTCACAGAAACCAAAGCTACTTGTAGGATCACCATCTTGTGTAATGCGATTCTAGTGTATTTAATTGTGCAATTATTCAGAATCATATTGTTTTAGTCATATTATGTGTGGCGTGAAACTGTCCGACAGAAAAAAACAACAAGGGAGCTCATGAAAAGTTTGAAATGGAGTTTAACCTTTTTCTTCAAGTAGTATTTTAATAATTGATTTATTTAACAGGATGAGCTTCCTTTAGAAGAAGAGATTATCATGAAGGATGACGAGGAGAGCGATGAGGAGTATGAGGTGCCGACGCCCACCAAGAAGAGGCGTGGCCCTACTTACAATGCACCACGCCATCCCGATGACATCACAGAAGAAGAACTCAAAATGGTGGCAGACTCTGTGAAGGATAAGAGTTATGACTCAATCTATGTAAGTCAACGTTGTTCTTGATAAGTATTAGGAGATATTATTATCATTGAGCTGTTTGCATAAAATAGTAGCAATTGCTTCAATTTTAAGAAATCGCTTGTCAAGCAAGAGATTAAGCTCAAGCAATTGCTTAAATCTGCAGGCTTAACCTTTGACTTGTGTTCAAAGCATTTGCTTGCCTTCAGCATGAAATTGCTTATGGTTACAACAATAGCGCTGTCACGCCGGTGCAAACACCATTCATGCAAGAATGAAGGCGGGTTTTGTACAGTGTATTCAAGTTGTATGCGTGTAGGGGAGGGGGGGGGGGGGTGCTTTCCGCTGGTATCAGACATCCACTCCATTTATCATTATATTATATTAATCTGTGTGTTAACCACTTCATCTTTTCCTTGTAAAAACATAATGATTTCCAATAGGTCTCGGGAGCAATTTCTTAATTTATTCTACTCCCAGACCTGCCAACCAGTAGGATTTAGTCGTATTCTGTAGGATTTTTTGGAGCAAATACGACAGTACGATTTTCCTTAATAAAATACGATTTTCCACCAAATATAATATCATTTTTTAAAATAATTTTTGTTTGTGTGTGTATGTGTGCCATTTTCAATGGCAAAATGCCCATTCTGTCCTGTTTAGTATCCTACAAGCATCTCACATCGGCAATTTGGGGATGTTCATTGCTTCATTGAACACACCAGTCGTGATGAAATCATGCATATTCAAACAATGATCCATAAAAAAATTATTCCTGTCTGTAGGAACTGTAAGAGGCATTAATCCGCGTAACAGTCTGTGTTTATTTTTCAAAATACAACTTTTGTCAGTAAAATTCAACTTTTGGGATTAAAGAATACAGTTTTTGAACTCCAGAGGTTGGCAGGTCTGTATTCCTGTATACAACTTTAGTTTTCTCTCACGAGCATGAACATAACACGAACGGCCTGATTGGGCAAGAGTTCAAGCATGTATGATGGAACTTGAACAAAAATTAACTGTCATTTATGAAAAATTGATTTTGTCTGTTTTTTTTTCTGTTGTAGGGATCCACCTGCCACCAGTGCCGTCAGAAGACCAATGACATGAAGACCATCTGTCACTCGGCAACCTGTAGTGGGGTCAGGGGTCAATTCTGCGGACCTTGCCTGAGGAATCGCTATGGAGAGGATGCTCGAGAAGCCCTGCTAGATGAGGTGACTAGAAATATGATTACAAATTAAGCAAAAAGGACTTCTTACAAGAATGAATCCATTTTCACTTACTGAACCTAGATGGGGAATATAATAATTCAGTAGTCAATAGGTTACCGTTGACTACTTTATCCTTGAAACTTCTTTAGGAGGTAATTTATTTATTTGTTTATTTAAAATGGTTTATCTCATTAAAAAACATTCATGGCCCGAGAGCCGAATTGCAGTTTCTTTTACAAAGTATACATCAGTCACAAAGTAAAATTACATGTAAAACATTATGCATGGTAACATTATGGTAGTAAAATTGAAATTCTTTTGTACATATAATATATAATTGTGCTTCTATGACACCCGCCTTGGCTACAATTACTCAGCGGCAATTCAGTACATTAATCAAACTTAATCCCTAGCCCGGTTAAGAAACTCACACCGCACTCAACCCAACACCAAGCACAAACCCAGCTCAAAATCCAACAACAAATACAACCCCAACCCGACATCCCACATCCCAGAGCATGTGTCAGGGCACCATTGTTGCACATTATGGCAAATTGCTTGGTAGATATACAGAAATCTGAATTTTATTACCATATTTGCAATAAAATTATATATTGAACTTATACAATACCGGTATATGAAAAGTAAAATGTTTTTTGATATTCAAAAGAATTAAATGTTTTGGTTGGAAAATGCATAGCTAGATGGGTATGGTATGGTTATGGTGTTTTCTTCAATAACAGAAACAGAAACAACAACAGAAACCAAATCAAGGAATTATAAAATCAAATAGATGCTAAAATGATTTAAACAAATTATACATTGTAGGTAAAATGCAGAACATATTGTATTTGGGCCATTTTAGTTAAAGGGATCGTTTAACAATGTTAAATCAGAGATACACGGCCCTACGTGTTATCAGTGTCTGTGATATGGTGTAATATTGAAGCCCTAAAAAATTGCGCTTCAAAATGATCAAGAAGTGCCTCAAAAAAGTAAAAATCTTTGAGTGACCGGTTTTACCATACTCGTTTTCCCCAATAGACTGTAGTGTTATGAAAACCGTCAGGCGAACGGTTTTCAAAATTTGTAATTCCAATCATAAATATCTTGATAATCAGACAGGCGATCGGCTTGTAAAATTCATGGGGTTCCTGACTGACCTAAAGGTTTATAATTATCATTGCATCATGAGCTTAATCCAGAATTTTGTTTCAGAATTTGAGACAAAGTTACCGGATCCCTTTAAAGGTACATGTAGAAGGAAAGAAAAAAGTACAGTTTTTCTTCATTTTATTGCGAAAAGAAACACAAGTTTAGTATCTTGTAAGTGTGGTTCCATGACACTTAAGATTACAAATGAACCCTTCTGGCTGTCAGCAAAGGAAATGGACCACTTTGCAAGAAATTCTTTTGATTTCATGAAGATTTCATAGAAATTATAGTATACAATTGAAATCTTCGAAGAAAAGTTAGCAAACTCCAACAAGTACATGTAATGCTTACAGTAAAACCACAACTCTGAATATATTTACAAAATATATTCCTTGCTCAGCTACTTCTTATAAATCCATAATTTAAATAGAACTGTGACTGAGTGGCCAAGGTTAGGTTCTGACTTGTTAGATTTTCAAGAGGCACTGAACTCAGAAAAGAAGACACCACCCTTTCTAGTTGGCTGTCTGAGAGAGTTTCATCAACATCATCAGATAGGCTAGTATCAGTGAACGAGGCCGACTTAGCTGTTTCTCCAGACATGCCACTGAAACTGTCAGATGTCGGTTCTACCTGTTCTACCTGTACTTTAGCTCCATGCGATTTTGATGGAACATCTCTGGCATCAAGTTTTGCAGATGATGATGTTGATGCTCTTTCCGAGATCACCTTAGACATAGCAATCTTATATTTGTCGCAAGTTTGCGAGTAGTATTTGATCAAATTTTCTGACCTGTGGCTACAGAGGGTCATGTCTCTCGAAGTGAAGCCAGCATGGTCAAGACGAGTGACACTTGTAACTTGTATTGAGTGATTCAAGTAGATTTGACTGAGATTTGCTTCCTTGCTGATGGTTTTCATTGATCTTCACCACCAGGGTGTGTGTGCCGATCAGTGCATTGTCATACCACTGATCTTGTTTCCCAGTTTTGGGTTTCTGTTTTGGGCGTTGCCATAGGAAAAGACAATCGGGATGGACTTTAGCCAAGTTCTTTTATGATTTTGACTGGACACACCTCACATCAGTATCTCTGCGGGCATGCATTTCTCCACCTTGGCTCTTACAGGAATCTGAAGCATGATTTTTGGTGGCTTTGTCAAGTAGAGACAGTCTCTGAGTTTTCATTGTGTAGTATTAGGTCAGTTTTTCTCATATTCCGCAAATTCTCCATACCACGATTTGCTATTTGTAGCATACAGGCAATGAAGTCTCTGCGCTGAAGGCCCTTGGGCTGTGACAAGTCCAAATGTTCATTGATATTATTCTAATTGGAGGGTAATGTTTCACCTCCGCTTTGCCAATTGATTTCAGCTTTATGAGTATGCCTTACTACTAAATGATTTATTGTTTGATTATATATCATGTTACAATGAATTGTATACACTGTCTCTTTGAGGTCCGATGTGTACAAGAGCGTTATGTTTATTTTCTACCAAAGAAATGTAAGACATGTTTTGTATACTTTTATTTTGATCTCCTTGTTCTAGAATGCTCTGCATTAAAACCTTTCAAGTTAAATAAGGGTGTGCGATAATCAAATAATACTATATGGTGGATATCGATGAAGAATATCATGCATTTTTTCTCTCCGTGTCGATGAAGAATATCATGCATTTTTTCTCTCCGTGTTTCTCAGACCTGGACGTGCCCACCATGCCGAGGGAACTGTAATTGCAGCTTCTGTCGCAAGAAGCAAGGACGCAATGCAACGGGTATCCTCATCCATCTCGCAAAGCATAATGGGTACCGTAGCGTCAAGGACTTCCTTGAAAGGTAAGAGGGGTTAGGGGTAGAGTATGAACTTCAATTCAATTTCAATTCCAATTTATTCATGTGTCCAACAAAAAATTACAAATCAATTATAAAAATTTACAACAAATGTAGAAATACATCTTAGAAGCAGAGGGGTCCCAGGGTGCTACAAGAATTTTTTTCACCACTTGCCCTGTCGGGCAAGTGGGTTTTCAATTTACTTGCCCAAACAATATTTCCACTTGCCCAAAACTTTAAAGCGAAAAAGGACTCGAGGTTAAAGCATTTATTATCTCGTAATGATAAGTTAGTGTTTTAGATAGCAAATTAATGCACATACATGTACAGTTTAACTGTACTGAATATTATCTTCGTTTGTTCCCTTTCCTCTTCTTGGAGGTGATGCACGCAAGCCGGGAGATTTTGCTGCTGCCTGTCCTTTCCACGGGCAATCCTCCTCGCCTCCACGCACCGCACATGCCCTCTGCTCGACTCGTGCGCCTGAATGCACTGTTTCCTCAAATTAGCCGTCCCCACGTACATTGCTGCCTTTCTATCGGCGATCGCAGGAAAATCCACACATATACCACATTTCATGGTATTTTCATCACTATTGAATTGTAGCCATGGAAATTCCGTCTTCCATTTCGGAACGAACCCTCGTTGTCTGTTGTGTTCGTAGTTCGCTTTCTTGGCTGGCGGTGCCTCCATGTTTACTAGCACAATCGAGAAAAAACAGCTGATCAACGCACGTGTGTGTCTGTGCAAGCCGCTGTCATTTGGAAACGTAGGCTAATTTTCAGCTGTTAATAATTTGGGTCAACTCTTCCATCAAGAAACGTCATGTAAATAATGGGTAATCAACTATTTTAAATAAAGTACGGACATTTTTATTTCATCATTCACTGCTATAAATATCATGCCAAAATTTGTAAATTCTTACTAAATAATAATATTGAAGATATTTTACGATAAATCTCGGATAAGTATGCGAAAACTAGACTAAACAACGTCGCTAAAACCATGAAAACAAAACAACAACGGCTTATATTCTGGGGGTCTCGATACTATTATCAAAATGACTCGCTCGGTCGGATCTTGAGACCGCAGTAATAAATTGAAAACGAGACAAAAACATTCATCTGATTTATATGAGCAGCGAGTTTTAAATAATATGTTCACAATCATTAACAGTCATTATGAATAAATATCAAACATTTGACTTTTTGTACTTACTAGAAAATCCCTGTTGTTTATTCCATTCCGATTCGCACGTGTTCATTTCCCTAGAATAATGACGTCATATTTGGCGTGATTCAACCAATCGGCAATCAGAGAATAGCAAAGGCCTGTCGGTGCGGCCTGCAGAGCTAGAGAGAGAGAGCGCGAATAAGCTCGCAGCTGGTACGATCGCGCTAGCTGTCTCTAGCTAGCTCACGGCCGGCCGTGCGTGGAGGCGGAGCGGCATTCATGGCTTGAAGTGTCACTGTTGCATGCGCGCTGAGCTAGCTGAGCTGGCTAGCTGTCTGTGAAGTTTTTTCGAAATCGGAACGATCGCTTTTTTGCTTCTGGATTTTGACGACGGGTAAGAAGTTGACGGGTGAATGGTAGAGTTCTTGGACACTAGGAAATTACTGTAAAAGTATCACTTGCCCGAATCGGGCAAGTGATAATTTGATTTACTTGCCCGACGGCTCAATTTGGTTGCCCCGGGACGTCGGGCAAGCGGGTTTGTCGCGCCCTGGGTCCACTAAAAAGCAATACTTGTACAATTGTGAACATCTTAAATGATACTTGGGAATAATGAGTAATTAAATTAACAAGTCCGTGACTACAAAAGGAACTACAAAATAAGGGAAAAAGGGCGATTCCAACAGAGACAAGAACGGGACAAAGATAGAAGAACAGGGTTACAAGAGTAGACAATACCAAAAAAGAAGTGAGAGAAAAAAAAAATTGGTTGTAAGCAGGGCTCCACTTCAACAGGTGCCCAGGACAGATGGGTGCCAAAGGTCTTAGGCCAGAGTTTCAACATTCAAACATTTTACCTAGGGATCATTGCATACAAATTCCAAAAGAGTTCTTATCTGGACCGTACAGGAAAAGTGAGTGTGGAGCCGTGATAAGTCCCAAGGAATGTGATGAATCTAGGCTTGTGTAATTGTGAAAGAGGATAAGAGCAAATTGTTTTATTACATGGTTAGACTTCAATTTTGTGGCATAGAAAGCAGACATATATGTACAGGACTAAAAAAAGAAAACTCTGAAAACTGTCATGATGACAGCTTGATATTTTCCATCATTTAATTTGTGATATTCATCTGTAAAATTACTTGGCATTAAACCCTAGTGCATAATATGACTCCATCAGGTTTGTCTAATCAATGACAGTTGACAAGTGGAGGTGTCGTGGCAGAGTGGTTCATTCACTGGACACTCAATCCAAGGGTTGGGGGTTCAAATCTCAGCTGAGCACTAACAACCTTTGCTAAGACATTGATCCATATTCTGTCACTCTCTGGGGTAATAATAATTGCAAGGCCCTCGAGGAGAACAACATTGAAGCTGATGAGGCTTCCCTGGGTAAACAAGAGTATTATTTATTTTTATTAGAGCAGATTGATTACACAAAGAGAAAGTTAAATTCTAAGAAAGATTAAAAGTATCTTGTTAGCTTTTCTCATTCTTTTCATGTCAGCTGGGAAGAATATCATTGAAGTTATTTCCTCTGAAAAATGATAGCTCTTCAAATGCCCTCATAGTTGAAATCGCTTTAATGTTTAGACCCTCTTGCCCCCCTCCCCTCCCCTCTCTCAATCTTGTTTCTGCCAGCTCTTGTACATGTGTTTCGTACATATACTTCTATTACAAATTATTGTTCATGCATGCTATGTCTTACATGAAATTATTTTTGCCAAATTATTTGTTAGCTGAACAGGCTACTCTAGGTAAAGATGTGATTTGAATGAATAAATAAATAAACAAACTGTATGTTCATTCTTGTCAATGTTGATTAAATCTCTGTTCTGTACTTTTGTATTTCATTCATTACAGTTTTGGACGAAATTGACTTGATCCTCACAACAGTACTACAAGGAAGGTCTTTATTGCAGGAAACAAATATTATTTACCGATCTACAGTCTTTAAGCCTTCCAAGGTAATGAATGGTATGCACAGAGATGCTGAATAGAATGGTAGTTGCCAATTTTGAGTCTGTTAAATCAAGTGCAGAGATTTAGCTTTAAAACCCCATTATCCAAACCCCTATCTTGGCTCATTGCTTAAATCTCCAGAAAGCCTAATGCAGATATTAACTAGCAAAACCACAACGTTTTTCTTACGTTGACATAAAGCATAATACGCTTCACATTTGTGTATGTTATAACACAGAGCCGAGTGAATTCATGTAGCTCCTTTGTTGCTTGTAGAAATAAAACACAGCTTTCTGTTTGTGGAGGCTTACCCCGTCATACCTGAATGGATGGGCCCTAAGTGAAGTAAAAAGGAATGTGTCCTCTTGTCCAATACACACCGGTACACCTCTAAATCCTGGTTCATATCATAAGATAATTTTAATCTCTTGTGAATTCGACCTTAAGATTCCTAGTTGTACATATTGCTATAACTGTTTAATTAAAAATTCTGGAAGCCACTCGGTCTTGTCCTTGCTTTAATGGCTGACACAAGTCCTGGGCCCGGCTGTCTCCGGCTGATGGTACCCGATACAGAGATGCCAACCAGTACGATTAAATCGTATTTACCGGTAGTACGATAATAAGAGTGAAATACGATTTTAAAATCTTAAAATACGATTTTTCATCTTTTTTAATTTAACCAAAACCCCCCCCCCCCCCTCCATAAAAACAGTGAAATCGCATAGAAACATGTACAAGTAAACCCTGCAACCCCAACAAAAGTTTGCTTTAATATTTTCTCATTAAATTTTAATGAAAGAACAACATTTTTCTGAAATTTTACTGGCCCGAGGCTGATGGGCCAGTGGTAGGGTCGAGTTTTCGTGAAAATCTGATTTTTGGGGATACTCGGTCTGTTTTTTTGTGTCAATAGGTTGGCATCTCTGCCGATACCAGCCTTTATCCAGGGATACTGATCCCCACTCTCCATAGGAGAGGCTACAGTCGAGACCTCATTGTTACCTTTGTCTGGACCAATCCGATAAACTCTAGACTTATAGGGGTGGGGGCCAGTTCATTAGTGCAACCTTACTCCATCTTAAAACTTTTTTGGGCAGCCCGGGAATCTTACATTCATTTGGTTTATGATGCTAAATGCTCGCAATCCTTTTTTGTTATTATATTTTAATCTCAGGAAATTATGGAACAACTCTTTAGTAATGAATGGGCTCTTGTAAAGTAACACACTGCCTAATTGTGTTCGATTCCAACCTCTTGTGTTTCATATTAGACCACCTCAAGCAGTGAATATTGGTATTTAAGTTGTCTACCCTGATTTGAATGTAAATATGTTAAATGTTCTACAATGTTTTTTATTCAACTAATATTATGTCAAGATATCATATCAATGTTTGTGTTGATGATACTGTTGCAACATTTTGCAAAACAATTTCATTGAATTGTAAATAATCATACATTACTGCTACTGACAAACGATCTTTTTTACCATTTGCGTAGACAAAATGCTCTTGTGGAAATTTTGTCTACTTTTTATATTAAAAAAGAAATTAAACCAAATGATGTATTTGCTATTTTCTTCAACAGTATCATATCGTAGTTAATTAACTCTGAATGAGCTTTTCATATTGGGCCATTTTCATAATGTAACTCAATTTAATATACGACTTTGCGAATTGCCTCGATACAAACTATTTCATTCACAATTCAAATTAGTTGCTGCTAGGTAGGACAAACTTTATGACTTGCCATAGATAACAACAACAGATGAATGAAACAATTTGTATTGAGCTGCTACGCAAAGACGTATGCATTAAATTACGAAAATGGCCTATTGTACCAACTCACAAGATGAGACGGGTACCTTTTATCAGAAAAGTTTAATGTGGTTGAATTGTTCATAAAAGCATATTGTTCAAAATGTAAACAAATGTTTGATTTCAAAATGTTATGACTCGGTCTGTGGAGAGAGAATTGTCCTCATTTGAATTTCATTGTTTTCTCATTCCTTTTTCTAGACAAATATAATTTTGTTCAGTCTAATGTCGTTCTCCAAGTCAGTTTGATGTTACTACATGTATGTGTCATAGTTTTATATTGTACAGTGCATTTAAATGGTAATAATAACATGCAGCTGCTATTTTGTTGTTGTCGTGATACTCAGATTTGCCAAATTGACTATGGTGATCAAACTTGCATTTTATAGTGCCAAAAGAGTTTGTAATTTCATGGATTTAGAAATGAATTGCATTATTTTGTAATAAATCTTTTTACAGAAAACATAACTGACCTGTGTATTTATATTGTTTTTCCCTGTGTGTCTCATGGGCGATCCTGTGCAATGTGTCCTGTACAAGACATGTCTTTTCTAATACGCATACTTCATCCAAAAATGAATAACCTCTTGGTGTGATCAAATGGTGCTTTCTGGTACCTCTTCCATTTTCCATAGTCACATAGAGAGATTTTTTTTTCGTTTATGGATGAAATATGTGGATTAATCAATGTCCCTAAATTTCATGATGTTTGAAGAAAAAAAAGGAAAAGTGTTAGACTAATTCTAATGCGTTAGTTCTTTACTACACGTTAGCGTTGTCATTGGCTCTGCCTCGAGTCCATTTGGATATCTGGGCTTCGTCTTTATGGAGCTTGTTGTCAACTGTGTATTGCCCCTTTTCCTTTGTAAGAAGTGCCCCTTCCCCTTTTCATGACCACCCCCATTTTAACTCGGATAAGCACTCCTTATATTTCTATATGTGTCCCTTTACCTTCCTAATAAGTGCCCCGTTTCCTAAGGAAAAGTGTCCCCATTAATAAAAGAGCCCCTTCCCCTTCTCATAAATGCCCCTTTTCATCTCTGTTAAATGACCTTTTTTCAGATACGAGAAGTTACTCCTTTTCACTTCAGATAAGTGCCCCCTTCGCCTCCGATAAATGCCCCTTTAAAATCTGATCGGTGCCCATCTTCTTTCAACAAATGCATATTTTCCTTTATTATAAGTGCCCCTTTTCATTCACATAAGTGCCCCTTTTCATGTCTGGTCGTGCGATAAGTTCCCTTTTTCACCTCTGATAATTTCCCTGTTCACAATGATACATGCCCTTTTTCCTTTCTAATACGGGAACTATCCCCTTTTCATAAATGCCCTTTTCGCCGCTTATAAATGCCCATTTCCTATTCTCATGACTGACTTTTTTCATCCCTGGTGAGTGCCTCTTTTTCAAGGCGTAAGAAGTGCCCCATTTTCACCTCTGATAATTCACTCTTTGTACTTTGACGCAATCATGCTCCTTTTCTTTTCTGATAAGTGTCCCCTTTTCCTCTCATCATTAAACGTGCCCCTAATTTCACGCGACTAAGAGCAATTCACCAAAAACTCGCCCGCATTTATGAAGATATACTTATGTTACTTATCAAAAGTCTTTTCAGTCTTCCTTTATGAGAATGTGCTTATAACCTCATCAGCATCGGTTTTTTCCTCTGTATAAGATGTAATTTTTCGCACTGCGACCTCACAAATCTTAATATCTTGTATCAGTGGCGGATCCAGGGGGTTGGGCCCCCCCCCCCTTGAGAAAAAAAATCATGTAAAATCACGCGATTTTTACCTTTTGGGGGGTTGGGCCTGGCGCTCAAGGGGGGAGGGGTATAAATTTTAAAATTTTCGAGGACCAAAAAAAATAAATGTGCTCACCCCCCCCCCCCCCCCCCCCACTGAGCGACTTTTCGGCTGGTTGAGTCGTTGCCGTTGCGATTTAAAAAAAAAAAAAAGTGTGCGCTTACCCCCCCCCCCCCCCCCCCCCCCCCCCCACTGAGCGACTTTTCGGCCGGCGCGATTTTCAAATTTTCGGGAGCAAAAAAAAAAAAAAGTTGGGCCCTCTCCCCTAAGAAATCCTGGATCCGCGCCTGTCTTGTATGGTGTATAAAGTGAAACAAATATTGAAATCATCCCTGATAATGTAGTCACAATGAAGGGGTATATACCAATGTCTAAAAAATGGTATATTTTCGCTTTAAAATTTCCCTTTATAGGTGCCCTTTTTTCTTGGTGCCCCCCCCCCCCCACTTTGGAAGTCGCTCGGCTGCCCCTGCCTGGGCAGTCTCATTTTGGCCAGGATCATGGCACTGACTTCCTCTGGTGATATTGTCTGCCTTTCTACGAGGTATACTCGGCTTGCGTCATCAGTTTCCTGCTTTTTCTTATTGCGGGGAAAGGCAACTGCTTTTTATCATTTCAACACTCACATTGTCGCCTATGAATCGCCTTCCCATCAGTCCTTTGACACCACAGATTGTGTTCTTGGGATTCCTGTGATATCGCAAACAAATTAAATCCTGTGAAGCTTTTGACCCTGACGGGACTTCGCTCAGAATGATGCAGCATGCAATAAAAGACGTACTATAATATCAGTCAACTCCACACTGGTTATAGGTGATGAAGTGCTTATAGAAACGAAGGTGGCTATGAGGAACTTATTCAAATTAGAAAGTTCTTTTGTGAGCCTACGTAAGTTATGCGAGGATCGTATTGAAATTAGATGTTCTTTTGTGGTATAGAGCATTCGACTGCATTGCGAGAGGTCCCGGGTTCGACTCCCGGACGAGCCCCCAAATGTCACGTGCGATAGCTCGCTTGTTAGCTCATTAATCGAATAGATTACTTAACCACCCTGAATAATACTACCAAAGGATTCCAGAAATATAAGTTGAATGTAACATTGCAGCTCCAGGACTGAGAAGACCTGTTTAGTTTTTCTTCAACCAGATCAAAGGGGCGCGTCTCTAGCTTTCAACTGTTCAGGGCAATCACTCGCCGTCGCTACTGATCAACACACGTTCATTCGCCGTTGCAGTCGTCGTATAGTAAAGTATAAACGTTGAATTTACTGGATTATAGTTTTTGATTTCAACTTCATTGAATGCCTGTTTACAGTTACTTATTATTTTTGTAAACGACAATAATATGATGTGTTCTATTTGAGCAAAGAGATTTGTAATATCCTCCTTGATTTGAGCTACATTAAATGTTACATTCAACCTATATTTCTGGAATCCTTTAAAGAGCTAACAAGCGAGCTATATCGCACGTGTCAGTGGCGAAAAACATAAATTCTTTAACCTACCGGTATTCAGATTTCAGGGTTAACCCCCCCCCGCTTAATAATAATAATAATCATAATAATAATAAACCTGGGACAATTGGAAAATTTCATTGTCAAAATAATTCCATAAATTGGGGTAAAAAACAAAATATTCCAACTATATGATCGACATGGTAGTTAAATACTTCCTTAAAGATATATGAAATGGAAGATGCATATCTTGGCTTAAAATATTACTAGGTTTGGGCTAACCCTAATAAGGCTGGGGGGGTGCATTATGCCCCCCTCCATGTTTTTTATGATTGTTCGGGAACGCGTATGGATGGCGCCCCGCCGCTCGCTGACTTTTTTCTTTCGGGTCTTGCGCATCTTTTAAAAGATATGTTTTCGAAAATCGGACCTACGGTTCCAAGGTCACGTGATCTTTTGTCTTTGCATGTCAGCCCGAAAATCGCTCATTTTTTGTGACTTGTGTACAAAACGTATGGAAATTTCATTTTTAAAGTTTAGGTGGTTGTTTTGAGAGTCAAAATAGTTGAATTGTAATAAGAAATGAAATAAAACAACAAAACAATAAAATACATAAGAAATTATCAAAACAAGAGATAAATAAAATGGCTCTTCAAAAAAAAAGTTGTATTATTATTCCAAATGGTAAAATGAATAGTGAAAAGGATTCTTAAATATAAATAATATATGATTTAAGGGTAAAAATGTGATTTAATGACCTTATTTGCATAAAAAAAATGAGTGAATTTTTCAAAAATATTTAAATCATTATATCATTCTGTACACTTCACTTAACATGCGTGCAACTTTTCGCAGATCTTAAGGAGGAGGGGGGGGGGGGGGGGCATGATGCCCCCCGACCGTACTAAAAGGGAAAGGGAAAGGGAAAGGGAATGTCCACCCCCAAAATAAGTTTGTTTCGATAGAGGCAGAATAATAAGAAAATCAGGTGAGTGAAAGTTTGAGCAAATTCTGAATGAAAATAAGAAAGTTATGAATTATTGAAGTTGTGATCAATCAAATACAAATTGGCAACTCTGTGACTTATTATACGAGCTCTCCTTCATTTGCTTTGTGCATAATATTCCATAAAATCATGTTTTCTTCGTTATTGATGACGGAATATATATTTGTTCCTTGCAGGGGGAGTATAGAAACATATTTGCAATTATTATATTTAGGGTGCATGTATGGTTGAAATTTTTCTTGAGGGAAAATGAAAATTTTAGATTTTTTTAGTACTGAGCAAATCGAAGTTGAGCTCGCATGATACGTCATAGAGTTGCCAATTTGTGTTTGATTGATCACAACTTCAAAAATCCTAACTTCCTTATTTTTAATCGGAATTTGCTCAAACTTTCACTGACTTGTTTCTCTCATTTTTCTACTCCTATTAAAACTAACTTAATTTCAGGGTGGACTTCCCCTTTAAGTTAAACAAGT